TTGTGGAATTAAAGTTTAATATACCCCAGCCGCCACCGCCTCGTCCTAGCAGGTGTTACCCCTTTCAAGCCAGTGGCTCATAAAAAAGGCCAGCTTTTCTTTTTTGTGTAAACAATTTGGCTGGATACGAATTTTATTTCCACTTCGTTTATTGTGTCGTTTGCCAGTCAAGTTAGGGCAAATGCGAACATTTTATATTCGAATATTAAAATCATGATTGGGTGATACTAAAACAGATGATTTATTAGCTCGCACTGATGAGGGTTAGTCATTAATGTTGCCTTTATATCTGGGTAAAGGAATCTGTAGCTTTCATTGGCGATGACAAACATAAAATTGTAAGTCCCAAAGTGCAGTGGTGAAAGCAATTCTGTGGCAACTCATACAATATGCAGTGACTGCTAATGCATGCAACTAAAATAACATGCACATGCTGCAAAAACTGAAAGCGAAAAGCGACCGCATAATGTAAACGCGCAAATGCCATGATTAGCAGACATTTTGTGGGAAATTAAAATAAATTGCCCGGTGGTAAATGTGAAAATGTGTAGGCAAAAGCATAAACACACACTATTTTGACCAACACCTGTTCGCCCTTACGCCTTTACCCAAAAACTTACTCAATTTCAGGGCACTGATTCAATTTATGCGCGTATATTCATATTTCAATTCAATTAAATCCACCGTTACGGCGCTGACAGCGGACGCATGATATTAAAACTGAAATGCGTTTTATAATAAATTATGTCTGCCTCATTCCATATTTAAACATCAATTTAAAAGTTCATTTAAAATGGCCAGCGGTCGCTGGAAAAAAGGAGCAGCCTGAAAGTAGGCAACGAATTTTGATGCCTGCCAATTAAATTGATCATACGCAGCGTGTGACTGAAGTTGGAATTGGTTCGTTTGCATGTTATTAAAATAAATGAAAATTCAGTACTTTTAGAAACGGACTGTAGCTTAAAACTTTAAAATGTGTATTTGAACTTGCAATTATTCATAAATGCAAAACAAATAAGGTAGAGTTGGTTTTATTTTAGCTTTTTGTGGCATGTTAAATATTGAATTAGAATAAGAAGAAACAAAATTGGCGAAATAAAAAAAAAAACATTTAATTGCTGAGAATTTGATATGTTTTAATCAGGGACCGAAAACTTTATACATGGATTTCTATGTTTTCTTTTAAAACTCTTTAATAAAATTTATTTTTGTGAAATATATTAAAGGCATTGTTTTAATTGAAAATACTTTTTAAGAGGTCTAATATTTGTTAAGGTAGTATTTATTGAAATGTAGCCGAGATTATTGTTAAGAAACTTATAGGTAAAACGTTAGTTTTACATTAAATATTTTTGACTTTCTATAGTAAAACTCACTTAAAGTACGTGTATTTTAGGCATTGCTCATCTGACAAAAAGTAGCTAATTCAACAACTAATGGAACTAATTAAAACTTAAAAAATTGTTTACAATCAGTCCCAAGACAATCGTAAAATGTTAGTTCATGATAGCAGGGGCTTATAAACGGCTCTCCTGTTGTTTAATTAATTTAAAAGGTCCTTATAGTTCACCTGCGGGAGTGTCCGTTGTCGTAGTCTCTGCTTTCTTTCTCACCGGCTTCTCAGAACTTTCAGTTGGTCATTAATTTATTTTAAAGAAGCGCATAATTGCCCGGTAACTGTGCGAGTAACTGGAACTGCAACCCGGCCAACCGGTCCAGTAAACGCTTATTCATGGGTGCACTCTTGGCTGTAGGATTAACAAAGGAAAGGGCCACTCGGATTGCAGTATCTGTGGTCCGTTTGTTTGCTCATCGCTCCTTTCATGCAACATAATTCGCTGGCTTAATGCGAGAGTGTGGCAAGCGGCAAAAGGAGCAAAGGACCCGGGTGGCAAATTGCAAGCTGCATGTCCTTGCCAGCACCTCGCTGCCCTTCCAGCAAGATGAGTAGTTGAGTCGCCTTTGTCTCTCTGGTGTCGACATGAATCAGAAACTTAATTATTTTCGGCCGCGCGATGGTGCAAACTGCTTTGCCCAAACAAACAGGATAGCATCAGGACGAAAATACACGCGACAAAAATGTACATACCAAAAAATGTGTCATTGTGGTCGAGTGAATGGCTGCAGACAATTGAATAAGAACAAACAAAACTTCCTATTTAAAAGGTTTGAATCATTTATTTTAAAGTGCAGAGGAAAATACTAAAACGTATGAAAATGGAAACACTTCAAAATCTCCTTAGAGATTATTAAAATATAAATTTTCTAGAAATCTTTATCAAAAATGTAAAATTGTAACCCCTATATTTTATTTTATTCTTCAAATACGTACATGGGTAGTTAAAGCCTTAAATTGTATACCAGTGGCATTTTGAGCACTAATTTACTTTAATAAAAAAGCCTTTGCTTGCTAATTTGTAATACCTTTAACAAGGGTTTTTTCTCGGTGTTTTAGCAGCATTTGCAAAAACAACATAGTGTTTGCAAAGTGCGACATAAATCGACGTGCCTGACATTTTGACGCAGCTTGCAAAGGTTTTTTTGTTTTACAGTTCAGCTGCAGCAACAGTAGCAACAAAGCAATCGTAGGAATATTTACACTCAATTTACTGCCACTGGTGATGAGTCCTTTCTGCAACCCCAAAAACCCACACACACTCTGCCATTCGAGTGTCGTAAAGCTCGGTGTTTTTGTGTGGCCCACACAAAGGATGTGGCACGCATATCCAAGCGGATTTCGGTTGAGCTTCTGGGAATTGGGATTGGACATTCACCTGCTGATGACTGTCACACACAGAATCCTCCTTTGAGAGTATATTTTTTAAAATAATTTCCAGCAGGATTCAGAAACACTCTACTTTAAGGCGGGCTCTCGTAACAATTGCTGGCGGTGAAGGCAATTGAAATAGGGAGGGGGAGGACACCCCTCAGCCACATGTTAGCCAGACCGGAAACTTGGCTAGCAACGTCATAAACTGGTTACATTGTCAGGCGGATGGAAAAAATACGCAAAGGAGAAATGAAATGAAAGGAGAGGAAATTGCTGGCATATCCTCACGCAACAGGATGCACATAAATCATAGCCAGTGCCGTAAAACATATACGTATATTTGCTGTCCGATAAATATCCGAGTAGGGCAATAAAACATACTCTGCATATGGGGATCAGGCGGATATCTGCCATATATTTACGATGAGGAATTGCCGCCTTAACGCCCGTCAACGGACTAATAGACACCCTGTTCGCGATAGCGGTTAAATGCATCCTGTTTAATGGCATTAAATTGTGTTTTATGACTCAATAATAACCGTTGAGTTGGAGGACCTGCATCGCCTGCTCTTAACCACTTTCGAGCAGGCGAACCACAGACAGCATTTCCAAGTGGCCGCGAGTTGCACGCACTGATTGAATTTGACCGGGTGTTGCATGCTCCAAGTGGCTTTCAGTGGTGCACAAGAAAAAATATACAATTTCTTGAAATTTTGTCATTGACTCCCATTAAAAATACTTCGATTTCTGAATCATATTATTCTTATTATTAATCCGATCAAAAAAGAAGTATATGCTCTCAATTAATAACATTACGCTTCAATTAATATGTTGAATTTATGACCTTTAGTAACTTTAACTTTAATAACTAGTTTGACTTATAAAAAGTGTGCTGCCGATCTATAACTATTATTTAATTTTTATTTGATTCCAGCAGCAAAAGGAAATAGCCTCTTAAATTTACAAAATGGGCTGTCTAACCTCATTCAAACTTTCGGTGAAATATAATAAAATCTAATCAAGATATTTCTTATGACATTTTTGGACCAATGTATTTTTGACAGTTAATTTTTTCTTTTTGTGTGCCATTTGCAATTGAAATGGGCTGGACATAAAAAACAGCCAACACCACGGCAATTGTCCCTGACTGCTGCTCCTGTTCTGTCCTGCCCCTCATCCTGTTCCTCCTCCTCCTCCTCCTCCGGATCCTGTTCCTTCTGTGCAGGGCGCACATGTTGAGGCAAAACATTTGACATTTCTAGTGTTTGCCCTATGTGGAGGAGCACCAACGGCAGACACTCACACCAAAAGGCGACAGTTTAAATGGCAAAGTAAGAGTGACTAACAAACACAAACCCATATGACTGAGTGCACCGATTTTACCATTCCCTGGCTTTTTTGTTTGCCCAGATTCTGACACTGGTATTTCAGGTTTCATTTGCCCAGGAATGTCAACCTGAATTATAAAGAAAACGAATTTTGCTTGCATATCAGTTGTCTTTTAATTTTGTTTTCATAAAAATTCACAAATGTATCTTTGAAATGGGTGCTAATCCCGTTAACATAAAACATAATGAAATTAAATGCCAAAACAGAAACAAGAACGAATTACCATTTTATCAAACTAAAAAGTAACTCTATAATAAATTAGATACCCTTTTTATAAAGTACAAAATATTATTAGACACTGTTTAAAATAGTTTTAAATCGATTTGATATTAAACTGTAACCCTTAAATCAATTTTAAATCAATTTTAAATCAATTTTAAATAAATTTTAAATCAATTAACCTATTAAATCTATTTTAATCTTAGTTATGTTCTTTTCAAATTTGTTTTAGGTAGTCATATTCTTCACTAACCTACATAAGAGTACAAAACTTTCAACAAGAGTATAGTTTCATACAGTTCCCTTGTTTCTTTTGGCTTCTTTTTTATGCCACTTATCGCGCACACTTTTGCACTTGTCACCATCCTTATATAGACGTATATGTATTGCTTTTTTGAGCCGGTGACGTGTAGTGTTTGCCACTCTGTCGCACCCACACCCTCTGGAAATCTGTCAACTGCAACTATTTATTAAATTATATACTGCCATTGTTAAATGCGAACGACTGGCGGCGAGTGTGTGTCTGAAGACGAAGAGGGTGCCCTTCCCTCCGGCGGAATTGGAAGAGATTTTCGAGTTTATAAGTAGTGCTAAATGTGATTTTCCGCTTATCTGCTTACAGATTTGGATTCCAAGTCAGGAGCGGATTCCTCGACGGATTCTTCGGCACCATGGAACACACGTTCCTTACCAACGGACATTGCCTCCTGCCTCGTTTATCTTTTTGTTTGGCGGCATTAGGCAAATTGACAACAGCTTAAATCACTTTGAGGTGGCTTAAAGCCCCGACGTCAGCAAAGAGCACTCCTGTCAACCTCAAGGATTCGCAGTGTTGCTGCCGTTGGCAGTTAAAACTCTCACTTGACGTGCACCAACGAGCTGCAAAAAAGGAGGAAGCCGAGGAACAGCTATAGACAGAATCATCCAGCACGATGGACGGGGAACTCGAGGAGGAGGAGGAGCGCATTTGCCTCAGGTGAGTGTCGACAATTTGGCTAAGAGTGCGCCACAATGTTGGGGCTTCAAGGTTGTCAATGATTTCGATGCCACCCGCGCTCCAATTGCATTCCTTTCAACCGATTCATTTAAAGGATGTAAAATATGCCCGAACTATTTTCTCATTATAAAGTCATTGATTGGTAAAAAAAAAGTAAAAGTAAATTTTACAAAATTAATATGGCAAATAAGAAATAAAATAATTGAACAAATAAAACAAAAATGTTATATTTAAGCAATTATAAAATATTTATTTTTAAAAGCATAAGTAACATTTTAAAGATAATTGAAATTATAATACTTTATTATTTGTATTTGATTGGTTTTTTTTTTTAATTTTTTATAATAAATTTGAAGTACAGTCTATAGAAGTTCTACTGTAGTTAGTTTGCTGCAGATAGTGTTTCTAAGAGAAGCCCCGCTTCGCTCCACTTCTATTTACAATAATCAATTAAATGGGTCCCCCAACAATGTGTCGCATTGGGTGTGGAATTGTATCCGATGAAAGCCCGGGAACAAAAGGCGACAATGGCAACAAAGCCACTGGTATTCAATGTCAATCTCATATTTCAATTATGCTTTATAAATGGCAACAGACGACGCGTCTGACAAAGATGCTGTCTTCACTTGAGTCCTGAGCTCAATGGACTCGTTTTAAGGGGAAGAACCTTTAAATGATTCAAATGGGTGTGTGAAAAATGTCAGGAAACTTAAGAACGTCAAAACAATATATTACTGTAATGGGAAATAGCGCATACGCCGCGTGGCCCCTGATAATTCACTTTGGAAAATCAAGCAGAGACCATAAAGGACAGCTTACTCGTGTCTTAATCGAATAATGTTGTTTTAATTGAATACTAACGAACCATCGGCTTTTAAGCCCATTTTAAATTGATAAAAGTTAGAAAGGGTGGAATCTCCCCAATAATTACTGTTTGCAGGCTTGGCAATAAAACGTAGCATTTAATGAAGAATTAAAATCCAAAGTCAGAGCGCTTAGCTTTATGCCATCAAACTGCTTTAATTGCTGTGAGTAAGCTCTTTCTCAGTGGCTCTTAAGCAGAACTGACTGCGTGCCCCCAAAAGTAAACATAACGTACTGGCCATAAATTTAATATTTCAGCCGCATCCAGTCGAACTCGATGGCTCAACCTCAAGGAGCAGCAGCTGTAGATGTCAGGACAACTTGAAGCGTCTGCTTAATGCTATGCAAATTTCTTTTTCTATGCAAATTTTCTTTTTACTCGTAGTAAACAAACGGCGGAATCGAAAGAAGGGGAAATTCTGTCGCAGGCGACAACACAGAAACTAGGTAAAAGGCAACCGAATTTGCCATAAAATGTGAATTTTAATGACAAACAACAAAGTGAGGAGGGACAGGTTTTTTGAAAGGGAAAAAGCGAGGAAATGAGGAAAATACATAGCGCGACTTTTAATGGGAGAAAACTTTTGCTGCAGCTAGCAAAGCTAATTAGTGCGCCATAAACATAAATAGCCATGTCCTGGTAACTTTTACGAGATTTTAAGATTTCTTTGGCAAATGTCAAGAGGACTTGGCGTACCGCATTCGAGGGATTTGAGGTTTGGGTTCGGGGCAACCGATTTGTCAAATGTAATGGCTTTCGAATACTTGCTAACTTGATTGCTGCCTTAAAAAGTGGCCACTTACACGGCTTATTGCCTTTTTCTTGTGCCACAGAAGCTGTCCTGATTGCTTTTGATTTTGAATGTGTTTACCCAAATCAGTGGCAGCCGTCAAATAAAATGCTTTGATACGAGCCACAAAGCGGCAAAAGGACATCAAAGCCTTGGTCCTGGCTAAGCGCATTTTCTGCATAACAATGCGTAACAGGGACGAGCACGAAAAAATCGAATAATAATGCTATTTTAAACAACCGCCAAGAAGTTCCAACTGAGATTTTGTGCCCACAATGGGAGAATTTATTTGCTGCCCAAGTCTGATTGATCCCAAATATGTTCGATTTCTTTTTCTTCCTGATGATTTAAAGAACACTGCACAAAATTTAAATGCGTTATAGATTATTTAAGCATCTGAGCCTGAAAAAAAAACAATTAAATAAACAGAACAAAATATACAAATTCTATGAAAACTAGAAAAATAATCTTAGTGTTTATTAGATTTCAGATTAATCCTTATTTGATCTTAGCTTTTTCTGTGTGTATGGAAAAACTTTCTATTACCAAGCCTTTTGTCCCTTTTTATGGGTTTCTTCACTCCTTCTTTTTTTGTCTGACCCAAACTGAGCCGCTGAGTAATTTTTCTATTTTCTGCTTTGTTGCTCGCTTTCAATTGCACACCCATGTTGACCAATGTCCGACATTAACCCAAATCCAGCACACACACATACTGATGCACACAGATATGTGTGTGGGGAAAGGTGTCTGTCTGTCTGTCTGTCTGCCCGAGGGGTCTTTTATGGGCCAGGACTCTTAGCCAAATGAAGTTGCCAAAGACATGGCCATATCCATAACCGAACTGGCTGATTCTCGTTGCGGCAAATTGGCCACCTGCTGCGTTTGTTTTGGCATGCTCTGCTGTCATTCTGATGGTTGTCATTTCCTGACCTGTGCCGGAAATTAATTACCAATAAAATTATGATCATTGCTTGTTTTAATTGATTTTATGGGCCGACTTTGGGAACAGTTAAGGGCGTAATGGCGATATTATCGATTTTTTATATTTATTTAACTTGATTGGGTAAAAGTTCTTAAATTCCTACGATTCGCTTGTTCTTATTATACCCGTTACTCGTAGAGTAAAAGGGTATATTGTATTCGTGCAAAAGTATGTAACAGCTAGAAGGAAGCGTTTCCGACCCTATAAAGTATATATATTCTTGATCAGGGTCACTAGCCGAGTCGATATAGCCATGTCCGTCTGTCCGTCTGTCCGTCTGTCTGTCCGTCTGTCTGTTGTCTGTCCGTATGAACGCTGAGATCTCGGAAACTATAAAAGCTAGAAGATTGGCATTTTGCATGCAGATTCTAGGAGTTCCTACGCAGCGCAAGTTTGTTTCAAAAAGGTGACACGCCCCTTTAACGCCCACAATCGCTTATATACGATTTTAAAAATTTAAATATTTCGGAAAGTAAAAATGCAGTTTTATTGTGTTTATCAATACCTATCGAAATGTAGAAGAAATTTTTCAAATCGGACCATTCGTTAAAAAGTTATGCGTGATCAAAGTTTCTATCTCCATCTCCCTCGCACTCCCTTTACCTGAGTAACGGGTATCTGATAGTCGGGGCACCCGACTATAGCGTTCTCTCTTGTTTTTCGCTAGTATTATTTAGTTAGTATGCTACTTTGTTAACAACACATTTAAAATTTTAAAAATGTATACACTATTTTAGTTCTGCCCATAAACTTTATTTGATTTTATTGTTTTTAACTATTACTTCTGTTAAATTAAATCTATCTAAGGTTAAGACATAAATTTCAAGATTATACCGTATACAAAATTTATTTGTATTCCTAAAAACTTGTTTAAGTTGGTAACAATTTAATTTCAAGAAAATATACACTTTGGAAAACTCAATGTATAGTTATTAAGTCTATCATTTTTCAAGGAAGCAATATTCTGACCAAAAATTCCATCTGGCTTCGCTTAACCCCCTAAGTAGTTCAGGGTTATTCTGATGACCCCGACAATCCGTTAGATATCTCTTCCTCCGGAGAAATTTTACCCAACTAATTATCTTTAAACATTTGTCATCCTCACACACATCGGATGAAACCGTAGGAAACGCTTTCGCACCAGCTGGATGATAGCCACGCCCCTTCCGGCACTATGGCCTCGCCCCTTTTGGAACGGCTTAAACGCTTAATAAATAAACTAAGCAGCTGGCCAGACATGGCTGATATGGTTGTTGTAGTTGGTGCTGTTGTGGCCATATCGATGGCTCAACCTTGCCAAGTAGTTGGTGTAGTTGTTGGTGGCACCAGGGCATTACAATAATGCATGGGAACCGCCCGTTGGGGCCCTCGGGTTAAGCATAAATATGTCAAGTGTTAATTGCTGCCACTTAACGCAGAGCACAAACTCAAATACAACCGCAGAGACACACATATACTGGAAGAAAGCGATAAAGATAAGGCGGAGAAATCTTAAAATAAATATCATAATATAATAAGGGCTCTTAAATATTAGTTATTTATGTACAATATTTTATCTGTCTGTTTTGATTTAACTCCATCTATTTCAAATGGAGTCCAACAATTATCATAAGTTGCCTTTTAAGATTTTATATAATATTTAAATTTAAAAACAAGAAACAAAACTTTGTTCATTAAATAATAATCGAAACTACAATGTTGATCTTAAAGTTAAATATTTAAAAACCACATTAATTTATTTATAATATTTAAAAAGTTCAATGACGGAAATGAAAAGACTTACAAATATGTTTACAATATTTTTTTTTGGTGCACACAAAGACGTGTAAATATGACTTTAATCTACTTAGCTTAGCAGCTGCCGCCTAAAACCCCCGCTTTCCAACCCTCTTTTCCTGAGTCTGGGACTTGAAAGTCGCAGCACCATAAGCAAACAAAGCCACACACACACACTTGTTACACACCCAATAATGTGCTTTAACAAGTTTCTTATGGCCATAAATTCAACAAGCCAACATAAGCTCATAAAAAGGACTGACTACTGCCTCTTACCTTTTGGCCTTGGTTCTCCCACCCCTTTGGGCCAAAAGTGGGTGGTGGTTCGAATGGCTGATTGGCGACTTGAAACTATCCCCACTGTTTGTCTATATAAATAAAAGCCAGCAGGCATGCCTTTGACATTTCATATCTGAACGTTGGCCGTACAAAAACACACCTCAAATTTCGCAAAATAAGGGGAAACACAATTTTAAAAATGAAACTAGAAAAGCAGGAAATAAGCCTTGTTTTTTCTACAGCAAAAGCCTTCCACTGTTACGTATCGAAATGTTAAAAATTTCAAATATGCTTATGCTGGGGACACTTCAATTAAAATGGGCTTTCTTGCCCTAAAGCTCAAAACGGAATTTCACTGAAATGCAATATGCCGAATAAGCATTAAAAATTCCTATGGGGAAAATTTTTGCTTTGACTAAAAATGTGAGAAAAATGCAGAGCTTAAATAAATGTGTACTTAAGGACTGTTTTCTTCTCTTCTTGTTAAGCTTAAAATTCAATACGTTTCCATAGTATAAAAGATACTTTTAGATAACGCTGAAGGCGAACATTTTGATAAAAATAAAGGTAAGGTTTTAAAATGCCAAATAACAATATTTAGTTTGGGCTATTAAACTAAAATAGGATCTATGGGCACTCAATCTATTCTTGAAATCAATAGTTAACCTTAATTATCGTTCAATAATTTTTAGCTTTACCAAAATATTTCTTTTAGGTAAGAAAATATTTACCTATTAACATCTAGGGGCTTGTTCTTCTAAGAAAGCGATCAAATATTTATTAAAGTCCCAAAAATGAATTTAGGTCCACCAGCACCGCTCCTGCCAAAGAATAGCCATCAATTGTTGATTATCATTTAGGGACCCATCATAATTACCATTATCATTCTGGCGGGCAAGTCAACCGGGCGAACTCGAGTCAATTACCATATCAGCAACATTGTTGACCAAAACTGATTTCACTTGGCGTCACCGCGAGCGAAAGAGAGAAATATGGGTAATATAGAGAATATGGAGAATATGGAGAGAAACCAAATTCAAAATAACGCTCGACAGTATCATATTATATCCCGGCGATGGCGAATTTTTCTCGCTCAGTTGTCAAACGCCAGTCCGATGTGAAAGACGCGAAAAAATACTATTTAACCAAAGCAAGCCGCTGGCGGCAGCAAAAATAATAATAATAATAAATAAAACCTGTTGAGCAGTCTCACCTAACATATGTCTATATAAATATACACAGAGTATAGATCAACATTTGCATTGTATATGACGCCAAGTCAAAAAGCGGTGAAAAGTGCAAAGTTCCTTGAGTGAATCACGGAATAGGTTCCATATTTGCATATTTACATATTCGACCCTGACAATGATGGGCGAGGAGACCCTGTCAATGTCCCTGCCTCTCCCAATTCCCCCGCGTTCGATTTATCGATTTTGTATTTTGAATATTGTTGCGCCATTATCAACACATTTATATACGCGATAATTATATTAGAAGTTTATCTCGACCCATCGCTGGCGATAAACTCCACTCGAATCGCCTGGATTGGTTCGGTGGGCCGATTTTCTTTTGTGGGATTACTCATCGAACGACTTCAGTTGGAAAAGGTAGTGCAACCGCTTGACAATGTGCTAATCAGTGAAACGGAACATAATCCGCTGTGATCGGGCATGTGATACCGCCTTATTGGACCAAACCTTACAGGTGCGTGAATAACTCGAAACATCTGCGGAGATGTTAAAAGTTATACGGTTGGTTGGCTGGGGAGGTGCTAAAATCCGCATCTTTACAACCTGAGAATTACACTTGAACTGCGATCTCGCCTGCAAATTGATGTTCAAATTGATTGTTTTTAACGCATGGCGGAAAATTCCATCTAACGTGGGAGTAATCCAATATTTATCGACGTCTTTTTCACCTGCACTGCAATTTCAACGAATAAATCGGAGTTTGAATTTGGTTAATAAAGCATTTACTTCCCATAAATGATAACGATTATTTTATAGGGAAAGAGAATCAGAAAGAGCAGAGATTAGGAGAGAGAAAGGGAGAAAATAGGGAGATACTGCTGCACATTGTATAGGCCAGTAAATATGGTAAATATAATCCACGCTGTCTGGCGCAAACAATCCAACAATACAGTGCCACCTTTTGGGCAGATAACACTTGACATCAATTTGATGATAACTGCCATGCAACAGGTGAATGGATCGCATTAAGATAAATACAAATTAAGAAATGTATATATTATTGGAAATCGCTTAGTAATGCAAAGAAAGTGTCATCTTATTAAATAAGTTGTTTCGTATTAGGACTTCAACTTAAATTTAAAGAACCCTCTTAACGCTCTTATAATAATAATGGTAAAGGTCATAAGAACCAACTATATATTCAAAATTTTCTTCAGAGAATGTATGAAGTCAGATCTAAAGTTAATATATTTTCCACATATAAAGAATTATAAAACGGATGTATTTTTACACCAATGCCACTTAATCAATATGGAAAATTTACGCAATGATATGTATATCCATAGGCATCCCAACATGGCTTAGTTGACCCCTCGGCTTATTGGTATTTCTTTTGCCAATTTCCTTCAGCTAGATTTAAATTCGCTTTCCCAGAAAAGTGTGCTACATTTGCAGAGGAATGCGTGTGTGTTGCTTGGTTTGTGTGTGTGTGTGTGCGCGTGCCTGCACGTGTGTTTGTGCACTCGTGTGTGTGAGTGTCTCACTGCTAATTTGAATAATGACAGCGACATCAACGCGCCATTTTCCACTGTCGTCGTGCTGCCTTGTGTCATTTTACGTTTCCGCTGCGGCATCGGGAATTTAACATCAAATAAACTGATATAAAGCATGGATAGATATATATCCGGTCCCTTATCAGCAGAAACAAAAACAGCAACTTAATAAATACAAAATTATTCAAAAGCTCTTAGTCTCGAAAGGGGGTTTGACAAAGAAATTCGAAGTCCCTTACTGACAGATTCCCGTTAAGTAAATTACCGAAATCAGCGAATTATTCAAATGCCACAAATCGACTTATTTCATTTACACAATTTCAATTTTGATTTGCACTTTAATGGAATGGCAATAAATAATAATCAAATAAACTACAGCTTGAAATATTAAACACGTAAATTACAATTTGGTTTAATAATTCTGGAAGCGAAAGTAAAATTGGAAACTTGCGAAGGAAGTAAGAAACTTATACCCAAAATAACCAAATTCACTATTACAATAGAAAATAGACAAATCAGCAAATAATTTCAATGCCACAATGTAAGTAATTAAATTTACGCTATTGAAATTCGAGGTTCTCCTCCACAAGAATGCATAGTACAATAAACAAGAATTTGTCTTGCGACTCTCAAAAGGTTCGAGGGTTGTGCAAAGACATTCAATCGTTATTGTGCGAATAAATATTGAAAGAGCCAAGGGATACCACCCATGGAGACGAAAATTAATTTCGATTCGGCAAAATGTTCTTTTCAACAAATATTTAACAGCACTTTCTCAATATGAGGTCCATTTTAAATTCAAAACAAAAATATTTTCAGACCTTTAAGAATACCCCACAAAAAAAACAACACATTGCAAATTTCTGCACTAAAATAGTTTCTATTATAAAATTATGAATTTAAGGCTAAAATGCGCATCCTATTTTTTAATAATAAACATAAAAGAAACTTTATTAAACAACTTTTCATCTTTTTGTTTTTATCGAAATATTAAAAGAATATTAAATCTTGAACAAATACCTTAATTTAAGCTTTTCCTTTAAGTATTTCTCACTTCTTTAAAATTAATTTATTCTCCTCAACACTTACATTTTTAATTCGCGCCACCAAATGTTTACATTCATTAGGAGGCATTTAAACTGCAAAGTAAAGATTGAAATTGAATGTTCTTTGATCTAAACTAATTTAAGTATACTAAAAAATCTCAATAACATCTTGATGAAATCCAACTGATATTATAAATAATTTGATATATGTCACACCTGTTCATAAAAATGATTTATTTGAACTTCCTTGAAAATGTTAAACTTTGGATTTTGGATTTCCAGTACAGCCCAAAAAGGCATTTTAAAATGCACTAAAAAATATGATTTTTAATGTACTTAATTTCGGCATTGTTTTTTCTTGCCATGTAGGACCGCGGAGGAGGAGCAGTTGGCCAACATGGATGACGACAAGCTGGTGTCGGATGAGGTGCACATGCGGCAGTTGAGTGCGACGCCCTCATCGGCGTTTTCGTTGCAGCAGCGTCGGCAGAGCAACAGTGTGACCCACTCCGCGCCCCCGAACTCACGCAGCGCGGGGGGTGGGGGCTGGGGCTGTGGTGGGTGACACGAAAGAGGAGGCGCCTCGGGGGGAGGAGGCGGATCCCGATGAGAGGGTGGTCCTTCGGCGGGCGGTGGAAAAGGGCGCCATCGCCTTGGCCCAAATCGACGACCTAAAACTGGAGGGGGATGATGATGATGACGACGATGGGGAGGAGGATGTGGATGAGGGTCTCGGTCTAAGTAATCCCGCAGCGCAGACCACAGATGATGAACAGATTACGGTCAAAGGAGCGGGAACAGGAGCAGCAGTGACCACCATCACATCCTCGGCAGCAACAGGAGACGCATCCTGCGAGGTAAGTTAATATGCGCGCCCACGCACTTAGGACTAATTAAAGCCAAGCTAAAACCAAAAACAGCAGGATGCAGCCACCACCAAAGCCACAACGATAGCCACTCCGGACATGTCGAAAATACCCCGACTTCCCGGCGACGGCGCCCAAATGGAGGACACTGGCGACCTGCCGCCATCGCTGCGTGCCTCCACCACATCAATTTTGTCCAATTTGCGCAAGAAACAGCAGGGCGGCCCTCTGCGCGGGGGCGTGGCCAAGCAGACGCCCCTGCGGGTGCAGTCCGTCCGGATTGTGGAGGCCAAGCGGGCCTACGGACCCAAGCGCCGCACGGAGAGCTGCAGCATCTTTGGGAACAGCAATTTCGGTAAGCGGGGACTTCGAATCCCGGAAATGGAGTTGGGCAATGGGGGCTCTTAAGTTCTAAACCGGAATTGTTATTGGCGTTTTTTATGGAGCTAAGCCTGCTTTAAGACAATCAGCCTATTGACTTTGGTTACTCCTTACGGCAATTCCGGCAGTCTCAGTTTAAACAGAACCAGTTGTATTGATTCAAGCACATTTAACAAGCATCAACACTAAAAATATAAGTCTGACTAAAATGTTTAACGGTCAGAACGAGATTTATATTTTCAAATCGAGTAATTCAATAACACTACAATTATTTTCAAAATATTTTAGAATTTTTATAATACAATTAAATAATAATTTAAAATAAACAAGAAAGGAGAGCAAACTTCGGGCGGAGCCGAAATTGATATACCCTTGCAGAATATTCTGTAAATTATATTCCCCAAAATTATTTATATGATGCATTCTTAATACTCATAAAAAATTCGAACTTCCCAAATTTAAAAACACCAAAGTTATGGCATTTCCAATCGTTCAGTTATATGGCAGCTATAAGATATAGTCGGCCGATCCTTATGAAATTTGGTAGGTCGGATTAATTGGCGAAAGATTAAACCCATAGATAATCCCAACTTTCTAACTTTACAAACACCAAAGTTATGGCATTTCCGATCAATCAGTTATATGGCTGCTATAGGATATAGTCGCCCGATCCTTATGAAATTTGGTAGGTCAGACTGATTGGCCAAAAATAAAACCCATAGAAAATCACAACTTCCTAACTTTAAAAACACCAAGGTTATGGCATTTCCGATCGTTCAGTTATATGACAGCTATATGATATAGTGGCCCGATCCGGCTCGTTCCGACTTATATACTACCTGCAATAGAAAGACAACTTTTGGGAAAGTTTCAAGCAGAAAGCTTTAAAACTGAGGGACTAGTTTGCGTAGAAACGGACGGACGGACAGACGGACAGACGGACATGGCTAGATCGACTCTCCTGGTGATGCTGATCAAGAATATATATACTTTATAGGGTCGGAAATGTCTCCTTCACTGCGTTGCAAACTTTTGACTGAAATTATAATACCCTCTGCAAGGGTACAAAAATTCCAAACAAATTTACAACTGAGTGCAAATAAATATTGAAGAAAAAATTGATTCTGCATTGAACATCATAAGAGGAACTACAAAAAATACAATTTTCTAACATCTAAAAAGCATTTGCATACCTTCCTATTTATTTATATTTAAATGGTACTTTAAAGTCATTTTATATCTACAAGTTCATTTGGGCTCATTTTAATAGATCAGAATTAATTTATTAAAATACAAAACTAAATTTAAATTCCTTGAAATTCAGATTTTGCGTAGTGGTTTTTTTATTGGTTTATAGATATTCAAAGCAGATTTCATTTATGTATTATTGACTAATGCATCTTACTATATATTCTTCAATATATATTAAAGAACATGATCTGGAATCGGGAAACTCCCTAGCCAGCATCGCTGGTCAGCCTCAGCGACCGTTAAACAACGAGATGTATTCCGCCTTCAAAAGTGGCAACGTGGTCAAAGGAATCCTGTGTCCCTCGTTGACCAACTCCTTCAAACAGAGTTCCCTGGAGCGATCCTACCTGACCTACACCCATCGCCAGCGTCAGAAATCGCTTATCATTGTGAACGTGGTAGATCTCGTGCTGAAAGTTGTCTTAGCTTTCGTCTGGATAATGCGAAGGAGCGAACAGGGTCCTCTTGATACCGAAGACGGAACGGTGAGCTTAACTATTTTCTTATTAATTTATTTAACTTTTTAAACCTTAGCTTTGTAAACTCTTATTATATCGACTAACGGATCTTATTAAACTCTTTTTAAATGAATTGATATTTTTCAAATTATAAAAGAAATTTGATAAGATTTAAATTTCACTGAGCTAACATTTTTACTTTATCTTTGTATAACAGATTAAACTATTTTTGATAAACATAAATAAATAAATAATATTTAAATAAATTCCTTTAATCACGCATAAGTATTGCTAAAAGAAGTTTCTGATCTGTGTGTTTCTTAAAACTTTTTGTAAAATTGAAATCAGAAATTGTAGAGAGAAATACTTAAAATGTTTAATATAATTATGAGAGATTAGATATTCTCTGATAGAATTGTAGCTTTATTATTTGAATACATCTTTAGTGAGCCTTAATAAGGTCTTAGAAAAGTCTTGGCCTATAATCATGCAAAAGTATTAAAAGTTTTTTATCGTGTATTTATTTCCCCCTTTTAAAAAGGAATTCAGAAATGATCTAATTAAAAGTGTTATTATTCAATGTAATTCTTTATTTAGACTTAATTAAATCTAAGAAATTAAAGGTCTCCTCTCCTAATTTTCTCGATATCCTTGCAGAACATGGCGACTGCCATCACTTGGTCTGTTTGCTGTGGGATTGCGAACATGGCCATCTGCTTTTTGGGCTACTGGCGGTGTTTTGCCAACAACTATTTGCACTGGGCCGCGGTCTGCACATGGGTGCTCTTCAACATCCAGGGTGAGTGGGTCGTAAATCATGCGTCACCTGCATGGACCGTCAAAATGGCAAATCCGTTTTTCGGAATGATTCCCCTGCGGGATGAGTCGTAAATGTTGTAACTCTAGCCATGATTTTCTCTCTGCCGGCACAGGATTCGTTGGCCAGGGCGTGGGATTCGCCGATCGCGAGTACCTGGTGTGGTACATCCTGTTCGTCATCTTTGTGCCGTATGCGATGCTGCCCCTGCCCCTCAAATGGTGCGTTGTGGGCGGAACCATTACGGCCAGCTGTCACCTGGCCGTGATTACCATCATCAAACTGCAGCACGGCGAGGTAATTGGCCTGCGAGCCAAATCGTTTTGTGACTTTTGCCTAAATCCCGGGATTTATGTCTATTCGCAGGCCACCATCAATGCCGAGTGCGTTCTGTTCCAGATCTTTGCCAGCTTCATTCTGTACACGGCCATCAACGTGGCTGGTATGTACACAAAGTATCTCACGGATCGTGGTCAACGGCTAGCATTCATCGAAACCCACAAGGCCATGGAGCACAAGAAGGAGTCGGAGAAGGAGCTGCAACGCACCCAAAAGCTTTTGGATTCAAGTAAGTGAAAATTGGAAAATTTTCCTTAAATGTTTTTAATTTATTACAAAAAAATTTTTTTTTAATAATGTAAAATTATAACTTGTTTTACCAGATAATGGTGTTCAATTTAAAAATACTTTATACATGATTTGACTTATTTCACTCCCCCATTTGTTAGTTTTTATATTAACTTGAAGATAAGGATAAATTCATTGGCTTACTTAAAAAACGGTGCTAAGTGTTTGTTCAATTTAAAATTTATTTTATCTATGTCAATCTCCAAAATTGAATTTTTATAAATTATTAAAGTCAACCTTACTTGAATTTATTGTTTTATATTCCAACAGTAAATACAAGGGTTTGAGATAAAAATAGTTTAAGAATTTATAGTTTCGATTGTCACCATTATAAAAATAAACAAAAATAAAGTAAACTCATTTTAATTTCTTACAGAAAACATTATATTTAACTCGTTTTGTATTAAGCAATTTTCTTGTGATACTAAGACCTGTTGCATACGATTATTTATTTCTCTGGAAAAACCATACTGCCTGATATTAGCGAAATTCCTTTCAAGGCTTTATTGCTGTTTGCTTAAGTAGAAACTACAAATGCGCAAATTCCCCTTGTAATAAGTTGTTAGCTGTGTTGAGGGACTTCTAAGTGGCATTTTCCCCGTAAAGAGCAGGTAGAATAAACCTCCGCCCTTCCTGGTAATTTCGCGTTGCCTGACAACTGCAGGCCGACGGAGGTTCCGTTTGCCTCCAGTTTACCGGTCCTCGAGTGAATATATATTGCCTTCGGTTCGTGTTCAAGTTGTTGCTAACCCCACTCCGCGAAATTCCGCTTCTTCTTCGCAGTTCTGCCCAACATCGTGAACAATCAAATTCGCAGCGAAATGTACAAGGGCACGGATCCCACGGTGGAGACGCAGTTCAACAAATTGTACGTTTATCCCATGGACAATGTGAGCATTTTGTTCGCCGACATTAAGGTAGGTGTACAAGGAAGCCTGAGCGGTTTATAGTGTGAATTTGGACACCTTTTCTTTTTCTCTTTTGCCCTCAGGGATTCACCGAATTGGCCAGCAAAACTTCGGCCCAGCAGCTGGTGAAAATCTTAAACGACCTGTTCGCTCGATTCGATCGCATTGCAGAGGTAAGTCGCAAAACAACAATAGATTTATACTTGATATCCGCTGGGAAAAAATCTACTGGCTATTCATTTATTTAATTTATATAAAGGGATTATATTTTATTTAACAACAATTAAAATCCTGTATCTTGTTTATTAAGGTCAACTTGTTGTTATCACTAGATTAAATAAAACGTTGAAGTAGACCAAATAAATAATTATACATTTTTGAAATTTCCAGCAAATTGTAAAAATTTAATAGTAATTACTCCAAGATTTGTTTGCGTTTTAGAAAATTAATGGAATGTTTTGCATTGTAATGCTACCAACATATTGGAACTGCCGAAACATATTTTTAATGAAAATTTCTGATTTTTTACCATAAAATGTCTTATTTAAATAGGAAAATTGTTATGTATTTTTGGTCATCTTAAATAATTTGGAGTTGTTGAATCGGTTTTCTTTGATTTATTACATGTCTTATAAAAGTACAATTTAAAATTTCTCCGAACGAATAGTTTTCTGTGTGGTGTCCTACATTGGGTGAATGTTTTTTTGAGTGATTTTCCCCCCGATTTCAACCAACCCTCTCGCTTTTCCGCCCTCTAAGGACAACCACTGTCTGCGCGTGAAACTGCTGGGCGATTGTTACTACTGTGTGTCGCAGTTCGAGAGCGACAACTGGAAGACGCGACCGGATCACGCGGTGTGCAGCGTGGAAACTGGCCTGCACATGATAAAGGCCATTAAGGATGTGCGCCTGCACACGCACGTAAGTGGAATCGAATCGAATTGAAACGAGGTGGACACGATGGAATGTGACACTTGAACATTTATTTAAATTTTATTAAATGCAACCTGTCCCAGCGAAAATTGGAACTGGCATTTAAAACTAGCATACATTTCAGGGCAGGGGCTGAAAGTTCACTTAAATACATGGTTCAACTAAACTCATAAATAAGCTTACAAGTCATAAACCAATTAAAGAACTGAATCAAAATGCTATAAGTCACAAAAGAGGGAACTTTTAAATATTAATATTAATATCAATTTATAAAAACTAAAAAGAACAGTTTATTTATTTAGTATTGCAAATATTTGGATCAAATAAGCTGGCAGAAATTATAAGGGATTTATATTATAAAAAAATGCAACGTTAATTTAAATCCTTACCAGTCAATTGCTTTTTACAATTTTATATTGCAACTCGTGTTTATGTAAAAATAAAAATCCAAATAGAAAGCTGGTCAAATAGCGAGGCTCAATGAGCTCCACTTAAATAAAGCCAGACTGACATCTGTTGAGGTTGTTTGTCCTTTTTTCTGTTAGTGCTGGACATTTGAAATATTTAATACCCATTTTTCAGTTTCCATCTGTTTGGCATTCTTTTATTTGTGAGGAGGTTTTCGTATTTTTTTAGTGCACAATCCAGTGCCCCGCTTTTGACCCTGGGCAGTGGCACTAGTATATATATTTTATAGGAGTAGAGGCAGTGGACGTGTTGACAATTCATTTGTATGCAAATCTCAACAGAGCAAAAGGCAACGACAACGGTCGGCCGAAAAGCAGCAGCGAGCCTTAAATTTTCATACGACAAAGTGCCACTGGAGTTTAATTGATTTTTTTTTGTGCGGGGAGAGCTTGGGGCATGCCGCAGAAAACCGGGGGAATCCCATATTCGTTTACGGGGATTTATGCCGCCTGCAGTCGCATAATTGGGCCGCCGACTTAATTGCTGCGGCAGTTTGACGATTGACTGGCCAACTCACTCTGCGAACTGACTGACAGCTCAAGAGAATTTTGTGGAAGAGGTGGCAGATCATGAATGGAAAAGGTTCTTTATTTAATTAAGGTAGGGTGAAATTCAAACAATATTTTTTGACAAAGCAAAATACAGACTATAAAAAGTTATCAAATATTTTTAAGATTAAATGGGAGTCTTTGGCCTTAGCAATTTTATATCACATGCAATACAATTTAATAGTTAATAATATGATTATGTAAAAAGAGAGAGTCTAGATTTGGAAAAACAAAATTCTTTAAGAAAATATAACAAATATAACTCTTCAAAAATAATCAAGATAAATCACATCCTAAACACAAATAATATCGAATATACCCATTAAATTTTTGTGTATGTGTATATATCCCAAAAAAGCGACTAGAGGGTGCTTCATTCTTTGGCAAATTATTTGTATGGTTATTACTAATTAATAAGGAGAATAATAAAAGAATTTGTAGTAATTGGGTAAAATAACTATTACAGGCAATCGAGTAATTAAGGCGTTTTTTACATTAAACCAATCTTTTCCCTTGGTGTAGTTAGTATGAGGTGGACACTCCCCATCGCTGGTTGGAAAATCCCGCTGTGCTCTGCATATTTTAAGAACTGCGCTTTGCAAATTGCAGGTGGACCTCAATATGCGCATCGGCATCCACAGCGGTTCGGTGATGTGCGGCGTTCTGGGCAACAAGAAATGGCATTTCGACGTTTGGTCTAATGATGTTATCATTGCAAATCACATGGAATCCGGCGGCATTCCCGGGTAAGTAAGCCAGTCACGTAGAACTTGCTCGAAAAAGCCAACTACACAGCTGCGTGTGGGTGCAATAGCAATGAAATGACAATATTAAATACGCACAGGCAGGGGATGATCCTGAAATTCTAACAGGATTACTTCCTTAATAAAGCGGTGCATTACTCATTAGAAACGGAATTGCATAAATAAATGATTCTGTTTATAACCATGACTGTGATTTAAGGTATCTTAATTGAGGAGCAAAGTTAGCAGCCACAGCTTCTACTTATTAATTCTGTGTAACACAAAGTGTGCCATATACACTTAAAAATATTTGAAAGCGTCACAGAAATAACTTGGGAGTTGAAATTAATTGAAAAGGTGTCCAAAAGTAAGCTGTGAAAAATAGAACATACTTTTTTTCAAAATAGAATTAGGAGTCTAGAAATAAATAAAGCATATATATATTTTTTAAATTATTTGTCCCACAAAAATATATAAATAAACTTTTTTAACTCAGTGGGAATAAAATCTAAGGTTATTTCAAATAATTTCGTTTGTCTTTCTCATATTGGGTAGTGTGAAAACTTGTTTTATGACTTATTTTTTTCAAGATACAAATTTAAGACACATATTTCTGTAACGGGTCTGATGGCTTGTTGTTTTTCAAGTGTAGCATACCTTCTTGGCCTTAAATTAAAATGTAAAACTATCCGTAAGACGAATAACTTTGACTTCAGTGGTAAGTCTCAGGCTGGCCACAGTTTTAATTGGCCAATTTGCGGATCCTGTGGCTCAGACTCTGCCCTTTATTTTGCTCATGCTCCTGTGCAGCTCACAACAATTGCTCGGTAATTTTGCAAGCTTGGCGTGTTTAGACACAAGAAACCAAATAATAGAAAGAAACAGCAGAGCAGCAGTGGGAAATGGAGAAAATCCGAGCGACCGCAGAACCCGAAACAAAATGAAAAGCCCCAGAAATGAAAAGCTCAATTTAATGCAAAATGCTTTGATGTAATGGTGGCCTGGACGGCAACCAGAAACCAGCAACCAGTGGAGCAGGAGTAGCAACATTATAGAGCTCCAAGGAACCCAGTGGAGACCCAATTATGAAAGGCCCACCACCCACACGAAAACACAAAGAGATGGGCGGGAAAAATGGGAAATAAAATGGTCGGTGGTCTTGGGCGAATCACCACGCACAATCATAGAAAACGTATGCAAATATTTGAATTTAATTTTCGGCAACTACATTTCCGAACTTGCAACTCAAGTCTGGCCTATTGCTAATACTCTTACCTCGGAATCTGTGCTTCCACCCTCCCCCCCCCCCGCAGAAGAGTCCACATTTCGGAGGCGACGCTAAAGTGCCTGAACGATGCCTACGAGGTGGAACCGGGAAATGGCGGCAGTCGGGACAATCACCTCAAAATGCTGAACGTTAAGACCTTCCTCATCAAGCGCACCGAGCCATTGAGGTAAGTGAAAAGTACACTTGGAAAAAAAATGTTTTCTATGTTTTAAAATATCTTTTTAAACAAGCTTTCTTAAAAAAAAATCAAAGGACATTGATAAAGAAATGAATTTGCTTATGTTTTAAAGCATTTAATTTGTTTATTTTATTATTATTTAAAGTGTGAAGCCTTTTGTTTTTAAAGCATTACATAAAGGTTTTTTTCAATTATTGATAGTAAAAGCAACTTTTTTAAAATTACTGGCTAACCAGATAATAATAATACACTCGTAGAAGACAAAAATATAAATAAACATAAAGAATTAAAAAATGTTTTCAAAATATATTTTGATACTTTTTACACAAGTTGGTTTATTATTTAGTTCAAAAATAATTTTATCACTAAAAAATATTGCTTATACATATATAATTTTGAACTAAATTGTAAGTTTGGCCTTTCTGTTGGCTCTAAATTGAAAATATAAAAATGTTCTCTAACTGTATTCATATATGAAACCGACCATTGCTAACCCGTCACTTGTTTTGCCACGCCCCCAGACCCAAACGTCGGTTTGGCACGCGCAGCAGCGCCCATTTGGCGGGAAGTGTGGCCACCGCCCCCTCGGCCACACCCACCGCTCTGCCCAAATCAATCTCGGCCAGCGGCAGCGGAAGCATTGGTGGGGTGACCACCACGGGCGGAGATGGAGCTAGTATCGATGGACGGAGTCTGGAGTACGCGGCCACCATCGCCGTGCCCGCCCAGCAACCAGCGCAACTTCTTCAGCAGCAGCAGAAGAAGAATATATCCTTGAACTCCCTCCCCAATGTCGTCGAGGGCGTGGCCATGGACAGTCGCAGGATGAGGAATGGCTGCGGCGGAATGGGTGGTGCAGGTGGTGCCTGTGGAGCCGGAACAGGCCCCTCTGGAATGTCCACCGTGTCCTCGCCCACGGCCATGATGTCTGCACCGCTGGAGGTGCAACTGCGCCCCAGGAACGGAGCCACCAGCATCCAAAATCTGGCGGAGGCCATCGACGGCAAGGGCTTGATTATAGAGGATGAGTCAACCACCGACTGGATACCAGAAATTCCATTCAAGAACGTAAGGGCATTTACCTTTTTAATATATATATCCTAAAACTTATTTAAAATGTAATGTTTTATTGGATTAAAGCACTTTTGAATCAAAATAACAAAAAAGCTATACACATTTTTTTAATTTCAAAGAAAACAACATTCAAATTAAATTTAATAATTTTCAGCATCTATATTTACTTGTCTATATTATTTATTTGTTATGGAAACCCGCATTTGATTTTATATAAGTCTTTTATTACCAAGAAATGTAGTTGTGCTCAGACTATATTATTTATACGTATCTTTACAACCCCCTACTTTATAATTACAGCTTAACAGCCCTGAAGAAGGACTCAATCGTGCGGATTCCATACTCGTAGATACCAAAGAAGATCACAGAGTGTCGGTGGCAGTTCTGGATGAGGAGGTAGTACTTACCAAAATATCCTAATAGCTCCTTTGCAATAATCACCAAATATTCACAGATCGACGAATTCATCGAGCAGAATATCCAAATCAATTCGAATAAGGAAATCCGACGCGAGTACCTAAATCCCTGGACCCTGAAGTTCAAAGACAAGAGTCAGGAGCAAAAGTTCTGCCAATTGCGAGAGGATATGTTCCGGTGCGTATGCCAGCCGGCTAATGGAAAGCAAACAAAGGGCAGGACTCTCTTAATTAATGAACTGTTGCTAATTGATTTCTGTTTCCTGCCATTACTCCGCTCCCCTTCCCTTTTCCATTCAGATCCAATATGCTGTGTGTGTTTGTCATCTGGTTATTTATGGTGCTGTGCCAGGTCATCATCATTCCGCGATGCACGCGTCTCATTATTTGCCTCTCGGTCGGCACCATTGTCCTTACCTTCTGCTGCGTTTTGGTTATGGCCGAGGAGTTCCCAGGTGAGATCATGGCTTATAGGGTAATTGGAAAGATATTTCAAAACGTTGCTTAATTTGAGAACAAATCGGTATAGTCAAATATGCCCCCAACAGATGGCCCCACATTAAATTTTAACAAATAAGATGAGGCGCCATCTGGTAGTGAGATATATTTATTTGCTAACACTGACGTCCTTTACCATTGTTAAACTTAATTTCTTAATAACTTTTAAAATAATTGTTCGATTTTGTCTACTAATATGTATTAATATAACGACTAAATACGTGAATAAGATACAAAATATACATCAAATTAATTTGTATGTTTAATCTGATATGTTTTGATATCCATATTTTATTCTTATCAATTGTACATATGTGGTACAAAATGATACTGGAAAACATCAAGAAGATAGACTTTGTAGGATACTACTAGGGAACCAATGGCTTGAAATTGGTAGAAATAACGCCAAATATCCTAACTCCTGAAGGCTTATCCCAAACCAAATATGGATAATCTTAAACCTAAACCCTATGTCATTATCCTTCAGGTCTGCCGCGCTTCCTGAAGACGAACTCGGCCAAATTGGTGCATCAACGGCAGCGTCGCACTCTGTTCATCTGCGGTGTCATCGTGTCCATGTGCATGCTGAGTGCCATCGGACTGGTCCTGTGCCCCTCATCCACGTACATTGGCACCGTTGACGAGCACACCCGTTTCCTGCGGATGACTTCTCTGTATAGCAACACCTCGTTGGAGAAGGAGAAGGAGTACAAGCTGAACGTGTATCTGTCGGCCACCATCCATCATAATATCACAATTAGCACACCGACGAGTGGGGCAGCTGCCTCCCTGGTGGACATTACAAGTGGGCCCTCCGATGAGTTGGTCCGGAGCACTCTGGTCAATGCGCTCAGTTTGAATTTGACGCCGCCACTGGACCACTTTGAGCAATCCCATCGACCGTACACACTTACCACAAGTGGCCACAGTGTGTCCTTGGGCAACTTAAGCTATGTCGATCCCTCGGGAGTGCGAAGTACAGTGGATCTGGAGGGGGAGTGCGCCCATCCGGAGTACCTGGTGTTCACCTGGGTGCTCTGCCTCGTCTCCTTGGCCACTGCTCTAAAGCTGTATTATCTGGTCAAGGCCCTAATGGCCCTGGGCATGGTGGCCTTCTACACCACGCTGATCATGTTCAAGTTCAGCTCGGGCGACAGCTTCAGTTTGGGTGACCTCTCTCGACTGGGAATGCCCCTTGGAGTCCAGATGCTGATACTGCTAATCTCGTTCCTCGTGATGGTCTGCTATCATGCACGGCTGGTGGAGGTAAGAGAAATATGGGAGAAGTGCTGCCAATTCGACCTCTGGGCTCATTACTCATCCCGATTCCCCCAGGTAACCTCCCGTTTGGACTTCATATGGAAGGAACAAGCCGAGCGTGAATTGACCAACATGAAATCCAATCGAGCGCTTAATGACACATTAATTAAGGTAAGAGATTCGGCCTGGCACACTGTGAAAAATGTTTTTAATACAATTAAAAATAAATAAAGTGGAAATAGATTATAGGAAAGTGCCTTACAAAACCATTACGTATTAAAAAGACCTTTCATAGGTGTTTAAATGCATGCTGCGAAAAATAGAACTTCAATTATTGGAATTGATTCATTGGTTTTAAACGTTTAAGATACACTAAAAAACAATTAAAAACTTATTACATTTGTATATCTTAAATTGACAGTTTTTCTTAGTGTACCTGTTCTTTTTTCGTTTTCCCCATTTGTCATTAATTAATCTGTTGTATTGCAGAACATCCTGCCGGACCACGTGGCAACCTACTACCTTTCCGACGAGCACACGGACGAGCTCTACTCCAAGATGCACAACCTGTGCGGCGTGATGTTCGCCTCCATTCCGAATTTCCAGGACTTCTACTCCGAGGACATCGACAATGGCAAGGCCTGCATTCGCATCCTGAACGAGATTATCTGTAAGTTGATTGATTAAGCCCTATTCTGCGATTCCGGCTGTCTAATGATGCCCCAAATACACAAATCAAACCAGGTGACTTTGATGAATTGCTGGAGGAGCCGCGTTTCGCATCGGTGGAGAAAATCAAAACCGTGGGTGCCACCTATATGGCAGCGGCGGGATTGAATCACGAGCATCTGCGACTTCGCGGCGAAACATCCGAGGACAGCGTGTGTGACCTGGTGGAGTTCGCCTTTGCCATGAAGCAGAAGCTGGAGGAGATCAATGGGGATGCCTTCAATAACTTCCAGCTGCGCGTGGGCATCTGCAGTGGTCCGTTGGTCAGTGGAGTGATTGGAGCGAGGAAGCCCGTCTACGATATCTGGGGCAACACGGTGAATGTGGCCTCGAGAATGGATTCCACGGGCGAGAACTGGCGCGTCCAGGTACCGGAGAATACGGCGGAGTTGCTCTGTTCACGGGGATACACTTGTGTGGTAAGCTGTCAATGATTACCCATCTATATAATTGGTTTAATGTGTTTGAACCCCCAGAAACGTGGTGAAATCGCTGTGAAGGGCAAGGGCATGATGACCACCTTTTATGTACATCCCAAGGGCATTACGGAGAGCCAGCTGATCTCGCCCGTTCGCATGCCAGCTGGGATTCCACTGGCCCAAACTCCGAACCTCCAGCGACAGACCTCCCATCATGGATCCTTCAGCGCCGTGGTTTTCGGAATGCTGCAGGCAAGCAAACGCAGCACGGCCATCGCAGGAACACGTAAGTTTCAGTCATAATACTAATAGTTACGAAGTTAATTAAAATCTACCTTTTAGCCACGGGCACTCCCTCGCCGCAAATCCGTAGGGGGCATCGGGGAAGCACCTTCAGCTCGGTGCGACTATCACAGAAGTCCACCACCGTCAATCCAGTGCGCCGAAATACAACCCGTGTACGCGGACGTTCCTATCGCCAGAAAGAGGTACTTCAAAAAAGGCTTTAAAATGTATTAAACCAAATTTGTTATTTCCAAATTTTTGAGTTTTTAGAAAAAAAAATGGCTTACCTTTGTATTTTTTTTAAATATTTTTATTAACGATTTAATAATTCCTTTTAATTGTATTATTTTAATTCAATAAATATGCAAACTAAACTTTTTTTTAGTTCAAAACAATATTTTCTTCTTGATTGAAAATTTTTGATAGCCCTATAATAATATATATGTATACAAAAATGTAAAAATATTACTTTCACTTTTGAAGGTCACTAAATTTAACAACATAAAAAATCCTTTCAATGTCTTAATAAATATTTTTTGAAATTAAAAAGTATTTATAAAAATGTTTCTTTTATTAACGTTGACTTAATTTACACAACATTTGATATATTTTAAAAAGTGTTTTCCATATCCAGAAGAACATTTTTTAAATTGAAAAGTTTTCAATAATAAATCATTTTTTAAATTTAAATTGCAGAGTTCCTCCAACAACTCGATTGTCACCCAGGCCAGCTCCAGCTATATGCCATCGTTTCGACGGATCGATCAGATCGAGACGACCATATCGAAGAGCCACAACGACGCGTTATAGCCGACTACACGCACTCACTGGGTGTAAGTCGATCTCAAGCAAATAAATTGTCTGATGAATTTATTTTTGGAACGATTTTATGCAGTACGAAATGCTTAAGAATGCTGGCTTTAACCTTAAGATTAAATAGTGGAGATCGGCACTGAAGCTACTTAGTAGAAATTTTAAATCACAATCCTTGAACTTGTAGATCAAATAAATGTTATTCTTGCATTATCTCAGCACAATTCTAGTCGTTAAACTTAAGAGTTACCGTTTGTATGTGCGTGTATTGAAATCTATTTAGATTAGGACATTTTGATCTTCCCACACACCCAACCGAACGAAATGCCAATGAACCTACTAACTTTGTTCAATTCTACCAAAATATTTACCAATCCTAGGGTAAAATTTTAGTAATAGTAGTCAATTTAAAAATCTATTAATGAAATAGAAAATCAAACATTCGTTGTACAAATCTGTTCTACTAATAACAAATATCTTATGTGTAAATAGATTAAGTGTAAAATATTTTACGAATATATACGAGTAAATGTATAAAAACGGACGTGTGTTACTAAAATGCGAAAATAAAAGATTTAATATTATTATAGCCAACAAAAAGTTTAAGCACATACATTGTAATTACATAAACAGATAAAAATAAATGTGATCAATAAAACAGAATAATGTTTAAAGGGAGTTTTCCTTACGTTTTAAAAACATCAAGTTTAAATAATATGGGTCCTATTTGAAAAATATTTATTTATTCATTTATGTCATTCGTTTTGCATATGCATATATTGGTAACAATGGTTTTATTTTAAACCGTCCCTAGAAACAGGCGCTTTGCCGTGTTTTCCAATTTATCAGACTTCACAAGTTTTAAATTTGGTAAAAAAAATGTTTCAAGCCTTAAAATAATTTTGTTGGTAATCAAAATAAGAAGCTTAATAAAAGTAGTTTCTTTATTGTTTTATTCTTTCTCAAGTTGCTAAAAACGAAAAAATATAAGTCAAGTGTCTACTAAAATGTATTCAAGAAAAGCAAGCGTATCAAATGTTTATCAAATGTTGATGTGGTATTAAAATGTAACCTCAATAATAGTAATTTGCAAGAACTTCTATTATGTCTTTTTAAATTTTTTCACTTACTTTTGCATTTTTTTAAACGGAATAGTGCGCGCGAGAAATTGTGAAAGAGTTTTAAAAAAATTTGATGTGGCAACATCACAAAACGGAATTCTGGCTAGAACACGGCACGGTCACACCAGAAGTAAACGCGTGGCAACCCTAGAGCTCGGCCGTTTCCCGCCCTTCACAACACTGGCGCCAAACACATGCGGTGCTGCGGAAAAGTGTGATTATATTAGCTCGATTTCGACGATTTAAAGGCATCGCTCGCCAAATTTAGAGTGAACCACAGAGTGGCGGTGAATGCGAACAGCCAGCGGAACAGCGGGACGCACTTGAGATGACCAGCGGTACGGTAACGACGACGAATGGAGGAGCAGTAGAGGTGCAGCTGCCGCTCAAGGTCGCCCGCCGGAGAATCGAGCGCGTTGGCTTCGCATACTTTGCGCAACGGCGCCAATTTCTAGCGCCCGGCGGCGTGGAGCGGAGCGATAGCGATGAGAAGTTGGAGGGCGTCGGCGAGGAGGTGGACATTAGCTACCTCAAGTCCCTGGATCCCAAAGAGTGGAAGGATCAGGATCACTACGCCATTCTTGGCTTAGGCAAACTCAGGTGAGTGGGCTACCACGTGTTTGCCCTAGTTTTGGTCTTTATTTATAACACCTCATTTGAAATGCATCTCAACAGATACGAGGCCAGCGACGACGACATTCGACGTGCTTATAGACGCATGGTCCTGCTGCATCATCCTGATAAGCGGAAAGCTAAGGGCGAGGAGGTCATCCAGGACGACGACTACTTCACATGCATAACCAAAGCCTACGAGATACTGGGTAGGTGTCAAGGCCATGTCCTTGTTAGGTCCTTGTAGCAAATCCTTGCGATCTCACAATGTTATTTGGTATTCGATTTTTTATGTTATGTCCTTTTCGTGAGTCACATACCTTCTGAGCTTGAAATCGGCAAAAAGATGTGCAAATGAACAATACCTTACATTAGCAGCATACTTAGTGTCATGTTGTACACATAAATCCAACTTTTTGAAACTTTTGCACCCCATGCATATATGACATTAGACAATCTTTAGAATCCTAGTTTGTGAATCTGAAATTTTCAATGCCCCCTACTTACCCATTTATAAAGTTATATGACGTGAATTGACTCAATATTTAAAAGTTAATGGTTAATATATAAGTAAATAAATGATTTTGTCGTTATACAATATAGCTAAATTTATTACAATGCCGTGTTTTGACAAAATTTGTACACTACATCTCTAAGAAGTCTATTGGTTTAGCTAAAAATAGGAATACTTAGTTGCTTTTAGGCATTAATCAAAGAAGAATGCAAGGTTTTCATTAAGTACGATTATATAATTATTTAATCATTGAATAATCAAAACAAGTTGCTTAAACGTTAGCTGACCCATCAAACATTGTTCTAAGATTAATTTTCCATTAAACCTAAATTGAATGTAATAATAATTCCCCCTGATTTCCAGGCACATCTAAGCCGCGTCGCAGCTTTGACTCCGTGGATCCCGAATTCGACGACTCGCTACCCTCACAGAACGACATCGATGGCGATTACTTTGGCGTATTCAACAAATTCTTCACTCTTAATGGACGCTGGAGCGAGAAGGCACATGTTCCCGCCTTCGGGCAGGTGGACGCCAAGCGCGAAGAGGTGGAGCGCTTCTACAACTTCTGGTACGACTTCAAGTCGTGGCGAGAGTTCAGCTACCTGGACGAAGAAGACAAGGAGAAGGGTCAGGATCGCGACGAGCGACGCTGGATCGAGAAGGAGAACAGAGCGGCGCGGATCAAGCGCAAGAAGGAGGAGATGTCCCGCATCCGGACGCTCGTCGATTTGGCCTACAACAACGACAAGCGCATTCAGCGCTTCAAGCAGGAGGAGAAGGATCGCAAGGCAGCGGCCAAGCGGGCCAAGATGGACGCCGCCCAGGCCCAAAAGGCTGAGGCCGATCGGGCCATCCGGGAAGCGGCGTTGGCCAAGGAAAAAGCCGAAAAGGCCGAGCAGAAACGCATCGAGCAGATCCGCATCGAACGCGAGCAGCAGAAGAAGTTGCTCAAGAAGGAGCGCAAAACACTGCGCGACAAGGTCAAGGACTGCAAGTATTATGCCAAGAACGACAAGGATCAACTTAAGCACATGGAGGGCACCGAAAAGATCTGCGAGACCTTCAATCTCGCCGAACTGCAAACTCTGAATAAGGCCATGGAAACCAAGGGCCGTGAATCGTTTGTGGCTGCCCTGCAAACAGCCGATCAAAAGATAGCCGCCGAGCTCGAGGAGATCAACCAGACGCAGGCGAAGAAGCTGGTCAGTGCAGCGGTCACGCCGAAAGGTGTCAAGGAGGTCAAGAAGGGTGAACTCTGGAGCAATGAGAATGTCCAGCTGCTCATCAAGGCGGTCAATCTGTTTCCCGCTGGCACTGCCCAACGCTGGGATGTTATCGCCACGTTTATCAACCAGCATAGTCCGGGAAATACTGTCCTGGTCAATGCCAGGGATGTGCTGAACAAAGCCAAGGCCCTCCAGAACACAGATCACTCGAAGAGCTCCCTCAAGACCCAAGCCAATGATGCGGCGTTTGCCAGTTTCGAGAAGTCAAAGAAGGATGTACAGACCTGTAATGATATAACCCTGGGCGAGGAGACGCCGGCCCAGGCGAGCAAGGAAAACGTGAAACAGAACGGTGTAGATCATAAGGGTAACAATCAGTCGGCCAAGCAAAATGGCAATTCAGCGGCTCCTGCCCCAGCTGCTGAAGCTACGCCCGCAGCAGCAGCCGCAGCTCCAGCCACAAACGGAAATTCGGCTGGTGGTGGTGGTGGTAGTGCCTCTAAAACCTGGACCAAGGAGGAGCAAGCCCTGCTCGAACAGGCCATTAAAACCTATCCCACGACGACGCCAGATCGCTGGGATTGCATCGCCGCCTGCATACCGAATCGCAGTAAAAAGGATTGCTTGCGCCGTGTCAAGGAGCTGGTCGAGCTGGTTAACTCCAAGAAGGAGGCGCAGGCGGCGGTCAAATGAGTGGGGCTTATGGCCTCCCACACCCTGCCACTCGTCCGCCTCATCCTCTTCTAGCTGCTGTGTCCCATATAAATTTTATTTAAATAAAACATAAAAAGTTTTTGAACGTTTAGCGAAAAGTTACATCCAAAGTTTCTCCATTTTGACTAGCTAGATGTCACAGGTATATCAAGATCCAGATATATATATTCTGTACGGGAGGGTAATCTTATGTCTGTTCAGCCACACTGCGTCCGCCGCTCATTTTCAGGTCAAAGGCTTGCGGATTGGCAAACGGGTCCAAGTCGGCAAAGAGATCCAGCCAGGGATTGTTGGTGGACTGGGATTTGCTGGCAGCCGGGGTGGTAGGAGCTGCATTTGCCTTAGAATCCTTGACTGGGTGGCTCGGTAAGGGCTGTTGGTTTTGCTGACTGAACAAGCGCGACCATAACTTGTTATTGCTGCTGTTTTGGGCAGGTGGTTCTTCATCCAGAGGTGCATCAATCAGCGGACTGTCCTCCAGCTGCTTGGAAAGCTCAATCAGCAAGGACTCATTGTCGCCGCAGGCAGTGGCAGGTTCGCTTGGTACTTCTTCTTCGGACTCCTTTGTTTCCGGCTGAGTTTCCAGTTTGTCCTGGTACTCGTTCTGAAATTGCATTTTTAGTAAGGGTTTCGAAGGGGTTTGGCTTATAGTTACAGCAAAGAACAACGATTGGTCCTTGTCCACAGCTTCAATCGGCGGCACTTCCTCACTGGGTCCTTCATTTTGGGACAGTTCTTTCAGCACACAGAAGTCGTACTTGGGTTTTAAAATTAAGGCCTTGGATATGGTCTGGAATGTGGAGGCGGCCTTCTGGGCAAAGCTTTTCAACTCGGAAACATAGGCCACCAGTGCATGGGAATACATATTGCAGCGGGCGGCGGCCAGTAAATCAATCTGTGGAGGATTAAAAACGTAGATTAATGTACATTTAATTATATAAAATAAGAAATACTTGGAGGTAAGGATTTTATCTGTTCATAACCCAACATTCATGGTTAACGAACTACAAATCTTCTAACTAATTTGTATAAGAAACTAGCATATGGGTGAATGAAATACATAAAATAGTTAAAATATTTGGTGTATCTATCAAAATGGTACATCTTAATGGGGATGTCCCATTTTCCATATGGTAGAATCGATTGAGTGATGGTGCTATTAATATTTAGACAATATTTCTTAGTCATTTAATTATGATCCTGTGTAATACAGAAAGTACTGTTATTCAGAAACTATTAAGTAATTTAAAGTCCTAATTCGTGTAGGGCGAAATACTGCCTTAGTAACCAAAAAATTCAGTTCATGCCAAGAAATTATATGAATCCTTAAAAACCTTCTCACCTTCTGAATGGAATCCATGGAATAGCCATCGAAGTTATGCTTGGCCACTCGCACATGGGTCTGAGCCGTGCGGAACTTGTCCAGACCCTTGCCCGTATCGGGATCCAGTTCCTGGCTGGCGGACTTCATCCAGGAGAGTGCGGCGCGGTATTCCGTGCGCTCCTTCTCCATCGACTGGAGGGTCTGCTCCGTGTCCTTGACGGCACGACACCGGAACACATCCACCTCGTGCTGGAGGCGCAAAAGCGGCACTCGAACGCACATCCTTTGCTGCCCGGCGAAGGACACCGCCTTGCCCGTATGGGCGATACTTCCGCCCGTTGTCCTGCTTCTCTTTCCCGCCTCCTTCAGGAACCTCCCGAAAACACACTCCTCCTGGGACAGGATCAGGATCCGCTCCTGGTATTGGTCGATGATTTTGCACAGGTTCAAGCTGGTGTCCGATATCGATTTGAACACCTCGATCTTGGAATCCAGCTCCGCGTCCGAGGATATTACGTGCTTGTCCTCCTTCGTCCCGAGCTTGCGCTGCACCACCTTCTTGGTGATCCAGAACTGGTGCTGAACCTCCGACTTGAGCATATTTTCGCCGTTTTGCGTTCCAGTTTTCAGCTGCGGGTGATTTTTCGCCACTTGGTGATTTGGGGGGCGGTTCGGATCGGATGGGGGTGGCGCTGTATCGTTATTTTTCAATGCCTATCGGTTTTCGATTAGTGTTGGACCTTTGCAGCACCACTAGAGTTGGTATTTTTCAGGGTCACACTAAAAACTTAACTATTGTTCTAAAAAATGTTCATTGCTTATTGTTTTTTTAAGCCCAATAAATACATTATTGGAAATGGATATTACTATGCACTGTAATATTTAAGAGTCCATGGTATTTATTAATTAAAGGAGGTCATAGTTAAATCTTGAAAAAGCAAAAAGCTTATAGGTCAATTTCTTAATGTCATGTTGAGTTATAGCATTGAAATTAACATTCAACAGTTTACATAAGTAAACACTCTTTACAAGAGAACATTTTGTATATCGTTCGGCAAAACGAAAATGACAAAGAAAAGTTTGCCTACTTTTCTGTTTCAGTTATGGCAGTCCGAATTTATTGATGATTCGTGTGACAAAAGTCCAAAATAGAAAATGAACACACATTTTAATTGTGCTTTCAAGCTTCATAATAACTCCCAGACAAATAACAAATACAAGCCTTAGCATGCCCGTGAGAAATCAAGTTAAAACATTAAGTTTGAAAGTAAGTTTGAATACGAACGTGTTTTGGCGGTCTTTTTATTTGTTGGTATATTTTCTGTATTTTAAAGTGCACTGATATGTTATAACCAATAAGCAACGGTCTCACCCTGTAAAGAAAACTTTACATAGTTTGCCACAAATGTTAAGACCTAACATAACGCGGGCAATGGGAAAAGTTTTCATTCGGTGCCAGAACTCGAGTCTCACGTCTTTGGCTTTCTTTCTCTCGCTTTTCCTCTCCGAACCAATCCAATCCAATATTTGTATTTACGCAAGTGCTTTTCCTTCGCGTCGCGAGTTTTCCTCGTTTGTTTACCTCTGATTATCGCTGTGTGTGTACTTGGATCTTATATGAATGCGTATGTGTGTGTTAGCCGGTGTCTAAAGTTTCAGTTTTTATTTTTTAGAGACTGTAATAATGCAATTGCCAAATTAAAAGCGACACATTTTTTTCTGCGACATTGCTAATTTGCTGAACAGGTATGTAAAGGTTTATATATGTGATAAACAGTTACTTTCTGATGCTGCACACAAACACACTCAAACGCACGAGAAGAAAGTGAAGAAGTGTGTGCAAAGCCTAGTACTTTTCTTGCCACTAAAGAAAAACGGGTTGCGAGGTGGAGTTTTTGCCACCTGCACGCGTGGGTGTGTGCGTTTTGAAACCAAGTATGTGTGAGTGATCCAGCTTAATTGATTAAGGCAAAAAAAAGATAATGCACCTTAAGATACAATAAAACAACAACACCAACAGCCCGAGACTTTGCGGCTTCTTTTTTCGGTTTTCTTTTGGGATCCCTAAAATTACACTCGAAAAATAGGTTGATATTCTTTAAAACGATTTTAAATAAAGTAGTAAAGTTTTTTTAAGAAAATATGATTTTTTGAATTTATTTACGCCAAATTAGCAAATATTGACAAAAAAAAAGCCAAAAGAAACTTATAAATACACGAATTATATCACAGAAATTTCTTCCAAACAAATATCAATGCAAAATCTAATTTTTCATAAAATCTGAGCACATTTTCTACATCAAAAGTATTACAGATTCTTTTACACATTGGGATTTTTAGGTTGGCTTCTAAGCGTCCCGAAAACTGGTGAATAGCTTTTACTTTGTTAATTTCAATCTGCGGTCAGAAATCTGAAATCATTTGATCAATGTTTTCAAAATGCAAATAAAAATTTCAATATTCCAAGCTTGATAACTCCGGCTGTTATCCTATATTATATATATTGTTACTCCTATATTATCCGTTCCAAATCTCCCTTAATTTTCTTTTCTGTGCACTTGGAGATCTTAAGCCGCTGGTGCAATTAGATTCGGTTGCGGCCACTGAGCACAACAAAAAAGCCAAACAAAAAGGCCACCAACTACAATGAAATCATCGAAACAAAAAAATAAAGAGGCAGCCAAAAGAACTCGAAGTTGGGGAAAAAAGGTCACGGCACTTGCTGCTTGCTAAGCTTTAATGGGCCGCCTTGGGCCGAGCAAACAACAACAAACCAACAATTGTTTAGTGCAAGCGGGCACCTTGTTAACCCAGCTATCCCTCTCTCTCTCCCTCTTTTTCCATCTCCCCCTCTCTTGTTTGTTATTAAAAGCCAACGAAGATTTCACTGCATCCTAAACCTGACACAGATGGTGTTTCTCTAGTGCATACTGTCATCGGGCGGCATTAATCAATAGTATTTGAAATCAGAACAGCGCCAAGCTGTCTGTCTCTGTCTTCAAGCATCTCCTGCTCCCACACTATATACACCTCCTTGTCACTCACCCCCTATTACAAGAATATGAAACTACAGGTTGACTTCTGTAAAAAGAACTTGGCCAATAATTCAAACAAAACTGACAAACCTTTATGTACTCATTGAAATTTTATTTTTTTTAGAAATCAATATTTTTATCAACGTCAAATATAAAAGTGGAAATTAAATGCATAAATAAATATATAACTTTAAAAATATATATTTTTAAACTTTGTAAAATTGTTAACAAAAATATTTTTGAACAAGTAAATAGATTTGTCTTCTTTAAAAGAGACTTGAAACTTAATTTGGGTTTACTACCTACTATTGTCATTTTTAAACAAGCTATAAACTGGATTGGCGACGTGATACAAATAAGTCAATCTCAACTTGATTCGCTTGGTTAATGTATAGTTAAAGTTCCATAATTAATCGTAAAAAACAGGAAAAATATTTATAAGTTGATAATAAACTAAATATACTTTCCATAAACAATTTAAAAATAAATTGTAATAAATATTTTGAAACTCGTTCAAAACTTGATTGGCGTTTAGAGACTAATCACTCAATCTGAACTTGATTCGCTTTTTGTTACAAATATTTTCTAAACCAGTTTACATAACTAAATTTTTAAATAAAGTTCTGAGGCTTTCATCATTTGAATTTGATTAGCTTTAGGGATGGTACACTGTCTCAAAGTTTTCTGTTTCAGTTGCTTTTGCATATTTTCTCACAGTTCCCGCGGTGCAGAAAAAAAATGTGAAAATTTCTTGCAAATACCTGCACATACATAATTTTGCTCGTTGTTGTTGCCTTTGCAAAATTTGTATCGAGTTACTTTGGTTGCTGCTCTCATTTGCATGCTGCAATGTTGTTATTGTTGTAGTTGCTCTGGTTGCTGTTTTTCCACTGATTATTTCTTGTGTCGCTGCCGCATGGCGTTGCTGCAACTAAATTGGCCTTAATTGGTTGCCTTTTTGTTGCCAATTTCGTTGTAAGACCGCTTCAGTTGCAGTTTTTTTTCAGCCGCTGTGACCATATTTCTGTTGTCTTGCCTGTTGCACGGTTGTTGTTGCTCTCTTATCGGTCGTTGCCGGCCGGCTGGAAGCACTTTTGGCCACTTGTGGCATGCAGCCGAGTGTAATTTTTTATTTGCTGTCTTGTTTCGCTGCCCTTTTTGGCCGGGTCTAATTGCTGCGGAATTGGCTTCGCCTTGGGAAAGGAAATCGAACGGGTGTGTGCCACTGAAATCTGTGGAAAACCCAATAACTATAACAGAAATTGGTGGGAAAAATTGTCGATTTTCATGTGGAGTATATTATACTATTTATATTTGTTTCGCTTACACTTAACTTTATATTTTAGACCTAAAATTTAATTTTAAAACTTCTGCCTTGGTCGTCTAAATCTTAAAGGTTTTGATGATACGGTTTCACACTATGATGGAAAAATAAAAAATTTGTATTTGTTGCGTGAAATAAATGGAATCAAATCTAAATTTGTAATAACAGTCTTCGGCTCTATTATTTGAATTATAATATATTAGAACACTTAAGGGATTTTATATTTTGATCAAACATTATATATTTGTTTATAATAACAGAAATGCTTTCTTACGGAACTATTACTTCAAAAATACCACAAAAACTATTTCTGGTAGTTAAGATTGCCATTAAATCTTGCCTAAAGGGCGATAGTTTAAAATACTAACCAAGCTAAATATAATGAGAGCAATACCCCTGGAGTAGATTAATAGTGTGGGGTAGTTTTTAAAGACCTAAAAACTAATTTATTTATTTTTTGCTGGAACTATGGGCCTATACTTAACATCCCGTAGCGAGAGCATTAACCGTTCGACGCGTTATGTGGCTAATGTGATATTTCCCAATTTTATTTGTTTTGCCTGTCTGCTCGCGTTTTTTTCAGCTGCCTGCATTTTTAATGCGCTTGCATGGCTTATTTGATTTAATTAGCCAGGCAGGCCGGCAGCAGCCGGTGAGCCAGGTTTTCATTATTGTTTGCAAATTGTGGGAAAAAATGCACGGATCCCCCGCCAATTCCACTACCGCCCGAATGCGTTTTATAGTCGCAAAGTTTTTGGTGGCGATTATGCAATCGAAGCTCTGGAACCAGCCAATAAATCAAAATGCCATTCTCAAGACTCCGGTGGCTGCTGCAAGTGCCACATGCAGCAGCAAAAACAACAACAATGAGCTGCGGCCCAGTATTCAGAGCATGTCAATGTGGGCCTCCGGTAATGTAAGCCCAACTCCCCCTGCTTCCGCCCCAGGTTGCCCTCTTAAAAGCCCACACACTTTTCAATGCACTTGGAAAAATTATACAGAACGTTTTTTAACTGATATTATGACGATGAAATGCATCACATTAGCAAAATTCTCACCAAACCAACTGTTATTATAACACTATGTAAATAAAGTTTTTAAGTACTATATTAATTCATGAATTCACTTGAGAAAAATGTATATCTTCAATTTCGAGCCGCTTACCAAATTATAACTTAATATTTAATTAATGTTTCCTATCAGGCAACTTAAAATATATAACGTCAATTAGTATGCTAACTTTAAAGGACTCTACTTTGTATAATAGCATATAAAATGTTCAAATATATCATTACAAAAATTTGTCTTATTTTAAATATAGATTCGTTTTTATGAAATTATTTTAGGGATTAAGATTTATGCATTTTTAACAGAAATATTTTCTTTTTTTATTATTCCCGTAAGAGCATAAATTCGAATGATCTATTTTACTTATTTTGTTTATTATATTGTCAAATGTTTATTAGTTTGACAAAAAAATATATAACGTAGTTATTAAAATAGTTAATATTTTCGCATGTGTACAACATTTACCGTTTCGGCAAGGTCTGCCGGCCAGCTGCCAGTTGGTCTCGATCTCCCAGATTCTTGCCACTTGCCACATGTGCCACCCATTGCACAATCGCAGAATGTGCGGCTGTCCTGCTGTCCCGCTGTCAATAAGCCAACAAAGCTAGTTTATTGAGTCGTCGTCGCTGTCGCCGGTTCTCTGCACTCAGTTAACCCAACCTGTCATGCCCACGCGTCGAGGCCAAGTGGCCTGGGCCCAAAAAGCATCCGAGTGGCCACTTTATTCGGTTTGTCATACTATACCCATGCCTATTTCATGTGGTGCATATGGGGACTAGAAAGGAAAGTGTTCCTCTAGTGTCCAAAAGGTGTGAGATACGAAAAAAAGCATCAGTTAACCACTTAAAGTCGGGCCAATTGTTCTTAACGTTCTTTGCAAATCAACAAAGAAAACACAGTGTGAGTCAAGTAGTCTTAAAAAAATCCTTCAACTTTTTTGCTTAAATTGAAAAACGTTAATTTACTTTTATATAGCTCGAAATGGCTTTTAAAAATCCTTGAAACTTTAAGTATTGACAGACGTAAAATGAAGCTTAAATTGGCATTTTGTTTACTAATTGTGTCTAGCATTGCTATTAAAAAACATAATAGTCTTAATGTCAAATGGTTAAGATTTCATTCCTCATAAACTAGGCTTATTGTAAATGCAATCAGCGTTAGCTAAAAGCCTAATTGGTAATAGTAATTTTAATTCAAATGGGAAATGTAGGGATTATAATTTTTAAGAGTAAAAAGCATAGAATCAAATATGATTTTTCATTGATAATATTAATGTATATAGACCTTTATTTTTTTTTTCGAGGTATTGGCATTTATTGATTCTTATGCAACTGGCTTTGATTAATAGATGTTCATTTTCTTGATCAACAATGAGATTTAGAGTTTTTTGATTGCCATTTAATTTCGAGATATTTTCTGTAGGCAACAATCTAAAATCAAGACTTTTAGCATAGCTATTTTAGCTGGCTTTTGCTCAATTTATCTTGAATCGCCTCTTTTGGTATTGTTGCTTTTGATGAATGGACTTGCGATTCTCATGGGTAATTCCATGGTCGAGCTCTAACGCTTTCCTGTCATTTCCTGCCAACGTTTTGCCAGCGTTTTGCTGATTAAGTTTCAATTTGAATTCGAGTTCTGGGCGGGAAGTGTGTGGGGTCATTTCAGGTGGGCCAACAACCCATGGGCTGATGACCCAATTGCCGCCAGTCCAAGTCCACTCACACAGCCAACAGCGATGGATTCAGATGCGCTTTTAGAAGCCTCCTACATGGAAGTTTGCTGCTCGAGTTGCCTGATCGACTGACCCACAAAAAGCCTTCGGCGGCGAGGGGGGAAAATGGACTTAAATATAGCTATCAGGCTTTAAGTGGCAGCCACTGCCGCCTGAGCAAATTTATTGAATCTCATTGGGCAGCTTTCTATACTTTCTCGCTCGCACTGGCAGGGGAAAAATCGCCAGCGATTTGTTTATTGCGGAAGAAGTGAAAAGTGCGCGGCCAAATCTCATCCCGTCTTTTTGCTCGTGCAAATTAATTTGTCTTAGACATTTCAATGGCATCTCGCGGATGTGCGTATCTTGCGGTTTTTGTGGTCACTGGGATATTTACATTTCGCACGAGTGCCATATCGATATATGTGGCTAGATATCCGATGAATTGGCTAAAAAGAGCTCGGCGCGCAGCTTCTTCTCTTCTTTTTTCCTTTGGCCACAAAGTGCGTTTTAATTAACCCACGAGGCGACCTGGCCAATTACTTTCTGCCTGCTTCTGCTTTTTGCCGAGGATCGGGCACTCGGGACTCACTTCGCAATGACTTTCACTTTCTCGCCCGGAATCGCGGCAACGAAGGGGTTAAGGGGAAAGACACGCAGGCGGCAGAGGGTTAATGAGGATGCCACATTGCTGCACATTTCGTGCCGCTTCATTGTGATTATCTTGTTGAAGAGATTCAAACTGTGGCAGCCGCTTTCATGTAATTTATTTGTTTATTGTCTTGGCCAGGGCCAGGCCAGAAAACACACTCCCCGGCACACACATTACATTACCCATCAGTCGATTCATCCAACTATCCACAATCCACCCACCCCGGGATGCAGCCAACCTAAACCTTCAATTTTGGTGGGGCGGTCAGCGTGATTCGTGAGTTTGGTTCACTATTAGTACCCAATCAATATATTAAATATGTTGTTTTACACTAAAATTTATTAAAAAAGGTTATTTCTGTAGTGGCTCTTTAATTTCAATGTTTTATTTCTGACATTTTATTTTTATATGTATTGACATTGATCCAAGAAATTAAGTTAAATTCAAGAAACGAACATGTAAATTTGATTAATAATTCCATTTTTTTTTTATTTTAATAAATGAATAGGTAACTAAACCATTTACTGCTTTTAAAATTTCTTTATTATACTTAGAATATTTATGGATATTCTGTAATATTTTTCATTAATAAATGAAAAACATATAAAACAACTTTAAAACTACTAAGGATTAAAAATACCTTTATTTTAAAACGGATATTTAGAAACCTATTGCTTTCAGAAGTTAAAGTTAGAAGAATAATATAATATTAAATAATACTATGGTTACGTAGAAGTTCTCTAGAACTTCTCAAAAATAACATAGTATATTTTAACTTATCATATGCAATACTAAAAATATAATTTTTTTTATTTTTTTAAGATATTTTCAAGATACTTAACCTTATTCTTTATATAAGCAGATTTTTTGATTTAAATATCCTTTAAAAATGTATTACAACTTGTATTTAATAATTTTTATTTTAACATTATTTTAACAACCTGATTGGATCTCAGCTTTTGTAAAGATGGCGTGATCACGAGGCCATCTCCAGAAAAGTACAGGAGTCTGCTGCTGTTACACTTGCACTTGCCATTTGCTACTTGTACCGCTGCTGCTGCGCTTGTTGTTGCTTGTTTACCTATCGTCTCGTTTTGTGTGGAATCGCTCACAGTTGTCCGTCCAACAGAGCGTCCGTCCGTCCGTTAGACCGCCAGTCCGCCCATCAGTTCAGTTGGTCCGCTTGTCGCTCCGTTAGCTCGTTAGAGCTGAAGATGAACAAGTTTTTCCTCAACTGGCACTCTAGACTTATTTCTTCATGAAGCCAGGAAGCCAGCGATTTCTCATCTTTGTTGTTGCTGCCGCTGATGTTGCTCTTGTTGTTAATGTTGCCGTTTCTGTTGCTGTTGCTGTTGCCGGTGTTGATGTTGCAGTTAGTGCTTTCCCTTGATGCAGCGCCACCCGCAACCTCCGACCCCTGGCAACCACCAACATACCACTCATGCGAGGCGGCTTAATTAGCTCCATGGGCTTTTCTGGCATCTGTACTCTGTACTTTGGCATCTTCGGATTGGAATTGTTTCGCTTTCGTTCTCACATCCCGCCGCTAATGTTTTTCCGAGTGAGTGAGCTTTTCCAACTGACGTTTTTCGCACACCAATTTTTCACTTGATCAAAAGAAAGTTCCTAGCGATATTGGGTCCTCAAATATTCGCTCAGCACGAGAGGGAAAGAAAAAAGAGACAGAGTTAAAGAGTTAAGTGCATTTCCTGGAAATAACGTTTCCTCTGCCGCAGCCAGCAGAAAAGCCAGTTCGGTTTTCCTCACTTTTCCGCACTTCAACGGCATTCAACTTGTTTTGCGTTTGTTTACTGTGGAGCTGGGTGAATTTGTAGTTCTAACCCTGAATGAATGATTCTTGGTTTTTGGTCGATGCATTTACCAAAGATTAGATGTTGGGAGCAGCATGACAAGATCGTGGCAATAGTTTAAAGATAATAGATATTGAACATCTTTTCTTTGTTTACAATCTTAACAAAAACTGTTTTCGGCATTTTGAGAGATTTAGTTCAAGTTCCTTATAAAATTTGGTATTCTGAATAAGAAAGTATTATATAAAATGACAATAATTTAAAATGAAACTCTTTTGCTGACAAGTCGTACTCTGTTTTTAGCTTATAAGTACAATAGTACTTAAAATATTAAATTGTTTAGGTAACAATTAAAATATGTAGGTATGTAAGTGTTATACAGTGCTATCATAAAATTCATTAAATTAAATTAAATTTATGATTATCTAAACATTAAAGATATTATAGCTATTAAATCCATGAAAAATAACATTTAAAATTAATTTTCATTTACTCAATCTCTTGACTTTTATAAGGCAGTAAAATGAAAATATAAAAGTAATATTGTGCTGTATTTTACCATCGTGACGGCAAATTTCGGCATTTGAAATTAATTAAGAAATAAAAGATTTAACTGATATTCCTTTCCTTTTAATAATGATTATATAGTGTATTAGGAAATATTGGCATAAAATGCAATCTTCGTAAGGCTAATACGTTACTGAAATCTCTCGTGTGTAAATCCAATTGCCTGTGAAGGCATCTTCTGTTTGAATGCGTTTGTCTTTTCAATTGGCTGCATCTTCCACCTTCTCCGGTTGAGTCATGCGATCTGCCAGAGAAACAGAAGAACGGCCCAGAGAACCCGATCCGAAGTGGAGTTGGGTTTTAGTTTTAGCCGAGAGTCAAGTTGAGTTACGCGGGCACTAAGTAGAGCCAAAGCCAAAGCCAAAGCCAAACTCGATTTCAGTTGCCTTTTTCTGCCGCTGCGAGTTTCTTTTCGTTTGTTTTCGGTGCCACATTCCCTGCTCGTTGGCCTGTTCGCTTCTCACATGATTAAGCCAGATTGCTTTCAGCTGGCAGCCGGATTGCAGACTCCTCTACGAATCTGCGAAGACTCTGCCTCTCGGTTTCTGCAGACTGCAGTTGTTTGCCTATTTATAGCACGGCGCTTTGGACTTTGACCAGATCTTCGATCCGATGACGCAGCGCCTTTTGTCTTACAGGGGAAAAAACAGATCGTAAATTGATATTTGCAGAGCAAAAGATACAAAAACTCTTTATTTCTTGGGGTAACCTATATTTTCTACAAAAAAACATTACGAAGTGTAGAAATATATGAACTCTTATAAATCAATGTATTAAACATTTATTAAATACTAAACATTTTTAATGAAATTATAATTCAAATGATCCTCTTAAATCTTTTTTAATTTGAATTTTATATCAGTTTAAAAAAATAATCATTAAAACTAATGGATATTGAACAAGATTTATTTTGTTATTAGTTGTTACTTGTTACTTATAATGGACACATTCACATAATTGTTCTTCAAATTCATTCATTCCTAAGGACTCCTGACTTTCTTAAACCAATTAAAGAATATGTTAAGAAATTTGTTTATGTGCAGCGATTTGTGCTACGATTTACATCATCGCCATCCAGCGGGGAATATGTGGTTTCCTCGAGTGGAGTTCAAGCCCCGAGAGGTCGTAGAAATCGCAGAGTCCATTGCGAAATCTTTAGCACACTCGAGATCTGCATTCTTATGGGGAGGCATCGGCAGACTTCTTCTGCCCCGAAGACCATTGCGAAATGCAAATATCAACAAATGAGCAAATCGTTTCGTTATTTGTTTGACAGCAACACAAACGTTGCATCAAAGTGGGTAAACAAAGGCTAGAGATGTCGATGGGGATGTGGAGATGAAGATGGAAAATTGAGGAGGCGATGTTACCTTGGAGGCCCCGTCGTGGGCCTGATGAACGGTTGACCCAGTCGAGTGGTTTTGGGCCAGCAAACGCATTCTTGCGGGGACTCAACCTCGGACTCGGACTTGGATTCAATTGATGTTAATTGCTAATTGCATAATAATTCATTCGGTCTAGTCTATTCGGTCTTGGGCTTCCGCATTGTGCCATTCTATGAGCGAATGCAAATCCCTTGCAGATCTTTAATTAAAGCCATCACAAACACTTTTGCAAGTGCAAAGGAGGCGTTTGTATTATGAGCACCGCGTGTGGATTACTCATACGCCCCATCGTCCACACGAACACGCCCCTTCGCGAATCAATGGCAACGCCCACCGCTTTCGTGGGGCTTTTCCCTGCGTCATGGCACATGAGTTGGGAAAACTCCCAAGCAGGCCAAGTCAAATGCAGAGATATTTATGGCCCAGCATTGATTTCAGCCATTCGATTCCGCTCTTAACTGGGTTCTGTGTGAAGTGGTGCTTGATTTAACAGTTGATTGGGCGGGGAAATGTAATTTAAAACAACAACCCCCTAAATTAAACGTACAACTCAGACCTTTCCACGCTTAAAATACAATTGCCAATAACAATTTATGCAGGTAGCTGATATTAAAGTGACGTTTTAAGTGGTACTTTTATATTAAAGAAAAAGACGTAAATTTGTTGATTACCTATTTACAATTAGATAAGTAATTTTTGGGAGGGAATCGGCTGTTAAATTAAAAGGCACTTATATAAAAGATATGAATTTTAATACAACTATAAAAATACAACTATAAGGTTAAAATGTATTATTGTTTAATTTAAAAACTTGTTTAAACATATTTATAAACCTTTAAAAGTTTAGGCAATATTTAAGAGGCAATGAGTTCTTGGTTAACATTTTTTTCTAATGCTAAGGATATTGCCAATTTCGTTTTTAAATGTAATCCCATAAAGTGCATTTCAAATTCGCTGCCAGAGTGATTGTGTTTTTGTCTGGCACTCGTTTTCCATGGCTTGTTAATTTTCACTTTGTCCGGCTGGCGAAAAATCCAAGGCAAAGAGAATCGGAAAACCTTTTTCAAGTTCATGGCTAGAAGCGCCAAAGTACAAATACAACAACGCCCAAGAGCTGCAATTTTTGAATTAGCAAAATTACTATTATTTGCCGCAGCACAAGCATAGATACAAAGCCGAAAACTCACATGCAAAAAACAAACGCATAGATACTACAAGTAGGCACGGATACAGATACACAGCCTTGTCTGTCTGGCTTTTCGCCTTGGCTCTCAAATTTTTGGCCCTGCAACGTGGCTGAATGATTTAATGTCCTTTTTGGCAGCCACACCCCAAAAATCTCACATCGCAAACCCTATGCAGTTGTTGTCTAGACTGCGGCAAACGAACTTTATTTGGTTTTTCTCTATTCCCTATTCTCTGTTCTCCATTCTCATTTCTATAATACTCATTTATTTCACTATTTTTCGGTGAAAAGTGAGTTTTTGCGGGGTTTTAGGTTTTCGCCCAGGAGCTTAAGGACCTTCCCCCCAATTCAATTTATAATGCCGCGACATTTTGCACTTTGCTTTGGCTTCGGGTTTGCGTGACTCTCCGACTTTGCAACAGTAACAAAAAAAAAATTAGCCAAATGATAAACATTTTTCCTTCGCTTTTATTTCAATTTTAATTCAAAGCGGATTTTGGCATTACCTTGGCGGGGTCTCTTTGTTTTGGGTTTTGGGTTTTGGGAAAATGGCAGTTGGAAGGGTTCAATGGAGTTCAGTTTTGATATTTGCGTGCCTGGCCACAAAAAGTTGGCGAACGGTTTTTAATGCTGCACAACGATGCGCATTGGCGATAAGGTCGCTCCCCCTCTCAGAAAGGGTTTTGCATTGCATAACACCATCAATCTTTTGACCAGGCCAAAAGCAGGAGGCTAGGCTCTGCCGCAGGCCATATATCATTCACAGTGTCTGGCTCTCTTAACAACATGCAACAGCTCGGAAAACAGCCACACAGCAATTAAAGCCAATGAATTGACAAGAAAACGCTGCCCTAGGCAAAAATCTGCCAAACAATTGTTATCTGCCAGAGACAATTGCCTTGCCGCCTTTGTCTTTTTGCAAATTCAGGGTGAGGCCGCCAGCGAAATGTTGGCCAAAGTGTGGGGTACTTTTCTGCAATGATTTGCCATTATTTTTGTGATAGTTAAAAATAGTATTTGCATATTGAGAAAAGTAATGAATGGAATTGTAACTCTGACTGGTTATACAAAACAATGAATTATATCAATTCCAGAGGTTTGTCTCCTATCCACTATTCACTGTAAAAACTATTTATAAGCCTTACAATTCATTTTTGAAAACCTTTCTAAAGCAAACAAATTGTATCTCAAAGCAAATATATATATAACACTATTTACTTACTTAAAAAAAGCAAAGATCGACCATTTGCCTTAAGGCCTTTAAGCATATTTTAGAGACAGCAAATAAATGTGTTTCCGCTACTTCAAAATAGTTTCTCTTCCTCAATATTTAATACCCTCATCTCCGATTGAAGGTGAACGGCAAAGAAAATAAACCAAGATAAAATATAATTTATAAATTATGAATTGTGCACAAATTGCAATTAAGGTCAAGTTTGAGTTGTCAGCTGCTGCTGCTTGACCAGCTTGGAGTGGAAATCCCCTCATCAAAGTTCCCAAATGAAATAACAAAAACGGAAACAGATTAATTTCGAGCAATTTAGCCACGTAATTAAGAAGCGAGATGATGACGATGCTGTAAGATTACGTTTTGCAGCGCCAGCAAATGATTCTCGATTCTGCAACTTCCACTTCCCCACAAAATCTGCAACTGAGTTGCGAGCTCATAAATTTTGCGGTTTGTTTGGGCCTTGGCCATAACGGTATACGTATAGTAAGTATGAGAGTGCAACATGCTGCGATTTTGCGGCGCTTGCTGTTTTGGATTTCGGTCTCTTATTTTTGCCAACTCAATGTTTGTGAATGAAATATTTGAATCGGCAGTGGCAAACGTTATAAATTCGACAGTTTATGTAAACGATGTTCTCGGGCTAAATGCGGTAAATCATGCGGCACGAAAATTAAATTTTTATTTTACGATTATTAAAAATCTTGGGTTCTCAAGAATTTTAAGAAACAGTCACGCTGCGTAAGAATTTATTGAAAGCTTTAAAGGAATTTTTCAAAAAAGCTTAATAAGCTAAAAATAATACTATTAAATAAATAAATATTAATTAATAGTTTTACCCACTTTGACTTGGTAATTAAATTAATCTAACTTCTTCCCAGAACCTCTTTAAAATACATTCGCCAGAAATTTGACACTAATTAACCATCTCGAATATTAATCAAATCCGGCAATAGAATTTCTAGTAATTACCATGCGATACCCGTATCTAAAGTGTAAATTTCTTGCATAATTTCCATGGAAATTATAGACCAAACACAAATTCATTTTCTACTATCGCTTACACTTCTTCGTTGCTTGTTTTGCTCACTTTCGCTGGTAAGAAAAACGAGCAAAACAAACGAAATAAATAAGACGGCAATAAAAGCGATAAAATAAAGATAAAAAATGTAAAAAACAGAGAAACGCTTAGGGGGCCAAGTACTGGACTTCGAATCCCCTTGTCGCCCGCCCCCTTTAACTCGGCCACGCCCACGCAACGTTTTGGCGATTTCATCTAAATGCGCATAAATTTGTGGCCTGCACTGTGGTGTTTGTGTGTGGTTTCTGCCAAGTAAGACGTCTGCGGTGCCCACTGTCCATGTGGGTGGTCGACGGTGGAAAATTGGAGAAAAGAGAATTTGCATCTTTCTCTCCGGTTTGCAAGTGTGTAGATCTTTCTACACGGAGAAAAACTTTTAGATTTTTAAAAGACTTTTTCAGTTGATTAATTTCAATAGTCTAGTTTCGTTCAAAACTATTTAATCAAAAGTTATAATATATTACATTCATGATCAACCAAAATAAAGAATCAAATTTCATTCTTCAATTGAACTTAAAGTTAAAGTAATTCTTAATTCCATCAAAGTACGATTATTCATTTGGTTTATTAATTTAGTTTTATTTTACTAACTATGCACTATAATCGAAAAAGTAATAATTGTATTAATATTTTATTAAAGTAGTCCTTGAATTTTCTATGTCAACATATTATTTTTAGTTTATGCAAAAATTCCCATATTTGCAGTAAATAAAACTCAATTTAAAATGACTTTGGTTTTATTTGATTAGAAAAAGATATTTCTGACATAAAGTGTACATTTTATTCATCATCATAAAAACAACTAACACTAAATTTTGTTTAATGGGCAGAAGATAAGCGTTTTTTTTGCTGTGCATCTGTGTGTTTGACATCGATTTCTAAAACAAGAAAATTTGCATTTAATTGGGCAAGTTTGCTCAATACAAGCGGGGGATGTGCGGCGCGATGAGGTGCGACAAAGTGTATTTATTCTGCTTTGAAGTTAAAACCCCTGACCAGAGGAAAACCCCTTTTCCTTTGAGCCTGGGAAAAACGCAGCAGATGAGATTTGGCTGACATCAATCAGCCGGAGATCTTTGCATTTTGTCTGTTTTTCTTTTGGGGGCCGGGGTTTGTTTGTTATTTTATCTGCGACACGATGACGTTTTCAAAAAACGAAAAACAAAAAAAAAAAGCCGATGAGTGAAAGTACATTTTCGTATGTTGCGCTGCAGTTGTTGTCATTTCATTTCATTTCTTTTGGCCGGGCCGTAATGTGTGTAAGGTTTGCAACCGTCGACAGACGACTTCTCATGGCTGTTTGTCTCTTCGGCTTTTGATTGTCTGGCGATAGCCAATTGAGATTTTCATTTGTCAGTCAAAACAGCCACGGCGAAACAAAGCCGAAAGACGAGACGCGTCTGTCAATGACAC